CGGGGATGGTCATCAAAGAGGCACTTCCAACATCGTACACCATGCGGACACTTTTGCTTCAAACTGTTGCACTCCATCTATAGGTGTAGTCCTCCTATCGCACGCGTGCAAACCTACGATGGTGTTACCTCTATCCTCCTTCGAAACCAATCGCGGCATAAAAACAAGCTACAGCTCGACAAAAACAAGGGACCACGGGCCGCAGACTGGTCTCTCCGGCTAACATGAAGCTCCCTCTCCAATGAGATGATACCTTACCGAGCGGTTGGCGGCCACGATCAACGGAAAAGATCATCGAGAAACGCAGCTCAATCTTGCTGATATACTGTCCGCCCTAACACATCCCGCAAAAAAATAACCGGCACGATTCACGTCTGGAACAACACCGCAAGATATTGAACTTCGAACCCCTGTTGGAGATGCGATAGCAGCGCAGTACCGTCATGTTGAAGAAAACAAAAGAAGAACTCACCTCCTTGCCGCTGGGGTCACCCGAGACCTTGGGCTTGGGGGCATCTTTCTTGGCGGCGCTAGCGCCGTTGGCGGTCTGCAATCCAAACCAGGCGGCAAACAAACGACGAGCCAGATGCATGGGAGAGAGCGAGAGAGCGAGAGAGAGAGAGAGAGAGGGAGAGGGAGAGAGAGACGCACACAGGCGAAGAGAGAGAATCATTAGACAACGAAGACAAGAGTAGAGGCTAGAGGATCGTCAAGGCATCTTCATATTTTGCCGACAAAGGTCAAGGTTCAAGGATGTTTGGCGACGGGCACAACCAACATGTCAATGATTTCCAAGAAGGGGGCAACCACACCCAACCCGGTAGCGACGCCACACGACAACCACAAAAGTGGACCCTGCATAAGGCCGCAAAGTGCCAAGGGGTTCTAGCCTGCCATATACCGAGCACCCAGCACGATTCAGAGTATGAGACAACTAAAAATCTCCTCAAAGTAACGCGATTTCAACGGCTATGTTTGAATCTCGGGACAACTACCGCTGTAGTGCATATTTTCCCCTCAACTCCCACGCGCACGTGGCCTAGCCGTATCACGACATGGCGTCAACGCTGAGCAAAAAACAATTGACACAGCTCGCGGTGTGCGCGAAAAGCCAAAGAGGAGCGCCGAAGCGCGAGCGATCGGAACCTCCCTGGGCCAACCTCTTTCAAAGCTTCTTTGCTCCACAGCCAAGCAAGAGTGCACGAAAACCGACCGACACGAGGAAGGAAGGAATGCCATCGACGAGGACACACCTCTCCAAAACCACCCCTGGCACCACCCTCTCGGCTGTGGAGCAGCAGTCGAGCCTCCAAAGCCGGTCTACAAGTAGGGGGTGTCCGACAACTCACACACACTTCTTGCGGCATTGGCTCTGCGGCGGCCTGCAACAGCCGCATGGGAAACGCATAGCTGCTGCCTTTGTAGCTGTTCACCCACCTTGGCCTTCTTAGTCGGGGGCTCGTCACCCTCGTCGCCCGCGGTGGCAGCAGCATCGGCATCAGCAGGTTCCGCCGCGTCTCCTTCCTCCGCTGGTTTTGCCGGCTCCTCCTCCTTCACTGCCTCTTCAGGTTTCTCTTCAGCCGCCGCCGCAGCGTCAGCCTCAGGCTTAGACTCAGCCGCCGCTGTCTCGGTGTCAGGTTCCGCCGCGGCCGCTTCAGCCTCGGGTTCCGCCGCCGCCGCTTCGGCCTCCGGTTCTGCCGCCGCCGCTTCGGCCTCCGGTTCTGCGGCCGCCGCTTCGGCCTCCGATTCTGCCGCCGCCGATTCGGCCTCCGGTTCTGCCGGGGCCGTTTCGGCCTCAGGTTCTTCTTCCGTCGCGGGGGTCGCCGTTTCAGTTTCAGGTTCCGTTACCGGTTCAGCTTCCGCTTCGGGCGCCGTTTGGGCCTGGGGTTCCGCCGTTTCCCCGTTTCCCATTTCCCCTTTTTCCCCCCCTTCCGCGGGCTGGGGGGTAAAAATAGAGCGGTAAGGGGGGGGGGGGGGGGGGCAGAAAAAAATCGGATTAATTTGACAACACAAGAGGTTCAAGAAAAAAAATCGCTTGCTCAGCGTACTCATCACCACTATTTCCACAGCCGACTTGGAGACGAGCGTGCCAGTGCCGCAAGAACGAAAAAAGTGGGGGGTGTTCTACAAGGCACGCGCGTCCTTGACCGGTGTGTCGACGAAATCAGTAGCTATTAATCCTCCCACGCTCCTTAAGGGAATCGCGAGGCGAAAAAAGCCGTGTGGGGGGGGTGGCGCTCGCGCCTGGTACCGAAAAAAAGCAGTGCGTCTCTTACGCAAGGTATGCGGTGGATAGGTACCTGGGCAGGCTCCTCCTCTTCCTCTGGACCCTTCGTCTCTGCCTCGCTCTGGATGTGCGAGACAAGCCTCTCCACCAGGACCGCCTAGTAGGGATGTATTCCGCGTTCCACGACCGGGATATGCACAACAAAAACACGAGTAAGGAGGCGACAAAGCGCGGAACACACACAGGCGGGGTGCACACAACGCGTGACGTGAAAAATACGGGACGAAAATAAGCATGCTATATTGACTCCCTCCTCCCCCTCGCCGTAAACGCGAAGGTCTACACACAGCAATAGCAAGCGGGGAATGCTTTCGGCGGGCTTGCGGGTCGAGATCGTGGGGACACGACCACACGAAACGGCGACCAGGGACCCGGCGGGCGATCTGCAAAGACCGTCGAAGGACACGCAAGCCAGCGCGAGATACCTCAGCTGCTTGATCAGCCTTCTCGGATGCTAGCAAGAACGACTACCAGAGCTGCGCCACCGCCGTAAGCAGCAGTTTATGGAGCAGAGTAAGCGTACGTACGTGTGAGCATGCCCAGCATGTGTCTGCTCAGCAGGGGTCTATCGAAATCCGCCGTGTAACCGCTCTGTTCCTTACCGCAGTAAGGCCTGCCGTGGGCATGTACGTTGTACATCAGCTGTCCCGCAAAAATAAGACGAGCACGTAAAACTCCTGCTAGTGATTCGATATTATTATCTGAGGGTGTTCCAGATGTGTTCACGAGCGTCATTTGGACAACCAGGTGACAGACAGGCCAGAGATGGTGATGCTGCGGCAACGCTGGCCTGCTCCCACCTTTCACGCTCGCCACTGGGCCCCTTTCAAATTGCAAGACAACCATGTTCCGGTCTATCTTCAAGTGCTTTTGCGCGCCAACGGCGGCGGCGGCGACATCACGCGGCAACAACACCACGACTACTTCTTGCATCAATCAGCAGAGCACAATCCAATGACGACAAGTCGAGCGCAGTTGGATCAGCGAGTCGGCGCCATCCTAGACCCTACTTCCTTTGTCCGATCCCGCCCGTGTCGACCCGGCCCCCAGTGGGGCGGCAGGACCACGCGTGCGAGAGAGAGGGAGGGAACATAACTCTCTTCTCTCTCTTCACATCGATGCACAGCAGCAGTGCCCCCCCCCCATGATGCCTCGCGGCGCGCTCGAAGCTTAACAGAAGACTAGACCGCACCTTAAGTCCGTCTGAGGCCAGGCCCCGCTCGGTCAGCTCGTCTCTGAGCTTGGCCACGGTAAGGGACTTCGCCTTCTGAGGTGTGAGCTCCATCTCTCTCTCTTTTTCTCTCCTGTTTTCGCCTTTTTTTTGCCGACCGGGTAGCGGAGGACAACGCGCGTGTCTCTCAGGATCAGGCAAGATGCACTGCGTGCTAGGACCGCTGTGGAGTATAGATAGCAAAAAGGCGCTGTCGGCAAACGCGTCTTCGTGTTCGCGTCTGTCGGTTGCCTTGTTTCTTGCCCTCTTTCAGGGAGGCGTGCTGCGCGCGCGAAAATACGGGGGGCATTTTCAAACACCCCCGGTTTTCGGATGTTTTTCGGTTTCACAGGTGTGATGACGGACGGCATCATCACCAATTTTACGAAGATGTTCAAGGTCTGTCGCCGGTTGCGGGCCCTTCTGTGCGAGTGGATGACACACGGAACTAACTCTGTGGACTGGCCCAAGGCCAAGCGGGGAAACATGTAGAAAGGAATGCATGCTGTCGCCTCTGCTACGTTGTTGTAGCGGTGATGGTGGTTCTAAGCACAGCACAGCAGTAGTATGTAGAAGTAAATATAGCGGGAGCTACATCAATCATCAGTCAGTGAAGACGACATCAATCAATTGTCCTCTCGACAACGGGGGGCGTGTACGTTCTCACAGCGAAGAGGGAACACCGACAGGGCGGAAACCGGTGGAGTGGGGAGCGTAACGGCATGATAATACTATTGCCGCCGTAAATATATACAGGCCAAATGTTGCAACAGTTTTAGTTATTATTGTTGGAGTGATGGAAGTACAAGCGATCACAGCGCTTCTCGCCTTCCTTTGATTCGACACGTACTACGTGTCGTATTTTCGTATTTTCCAGTTTCTGCCCAACGCACGACAGACAGTTCCTCCGCCCGGGTGGCCTTCAGTTGGTAAACTCGTAAACCTACTTGTCTCTGTTTAAGTTGTGGCTTTACCCTAGTTTGCTGAACAATGCAAGTGCCAGTAGACGAGACAATCAATCTATCTGCACCCTTCTCGAGGAAAAATTCGACGGCAAGCATCACCACAATAAATAAGACGAAGAAAAAGGTCGAGGACCAAGCAAATATGTCCGTGTTTCCGTGTCTTGTCGTCTGTGACCACCGGCTGTCTGTGGTGGCGTTTTAACCGCGCCGAAAAAGTTTGGTCGACTGGCCGCCCAGGATAAAAAATGGAACAAAGACACATGATAACCCACATTGTGTTCAATCTTCTACAAGCTTGTGTGTGATGTTCTTCTTCGTTGGTTGTCGGCTGGATGGGCTCGTTTCTGGGCCTCGCAATATAGATAGGGTACGAGAAGGACGCGGTAGACAAGTAGGTGGTACAGAATCAACCGTCGGTTCGACTCGTCAAGGCGACCACTACACGAGAGCAAAACCGCCAAAACTAATTCGCGACGGACCTCGCGTGCACGGCTATACTATTTTCCGGAACCCCATCCTCGCGGGATCACCCACCATGCCAAGAAAATAGACGTGATTTTACACAGACTCGCGCGAGTGAGGGCCGCCCGCTTTCGAGCGCGCCAAAGCGGGGATACACCACCGTTGGCGAGGGGACTCACAATGTTGCAAAAATATGGTGTCTGTTCGATTATTGGTGTTGTCCGGTACAGCCATACTACGCTACAATCTCTTGACTGGATGCTACAGCAGTACTACAAACGCTTGCAACGCGTCAGCCATGTCAAGAGCAACCAGCAAGCTGATTGATTGGCGTTCAACAGCGCAGGACGGACGCTTCATAAACGAAACAAGAGGCCGACACCGCTACGGACGGCTGCAAGGAGGGCCTCTCTACGCGTTCGGCAAAAAGAAACACTTCGACGAAAAATACTATTCAAATTTCAAATAAACTCAACCGAATGGACAAAACACTGCAACTCTATCCGTTGCAACACCCTCGCCGCAGTTCCTGGAAACATTGCGAAAACGCCAACAAACACGATGGAAATGCAACGAGAAGGGCTCAAGAGAGAGGCTCACTATTCCATTGAGAAGCTCGAGATCCAACAGAAATTCAACATCATCCACTCTAAAAAACAGCGGGTTCTCGGAACCCAATATTCTAGTTAAGAGACTTTGTCGTGTACCCTCCGTCGCATGCATGTATCTGTACTAGAGATATCCACAAATCAACCAGATCGACCGTGTTTCCGACTGCACACAAGCTTTGTTACGTACATGCGCTTGCGCTCCGTTCCGTGTCGTCAAAGAAACACGGCGCTCTCGCCTCGCATAGGAGGAGCAGGCAGAATGCTCGCCAACACGTAGTTCTTCCCTCTTCGCCACAACCCATTCACGACCTAGGCGACGACAGCAACCCTTGACGTGGCGCTTCACTATCTCCCCCGCTCCCGCCACGGCACTTGTATGAACAAGTGTCCGAAACCCCGGGAGCACACGCCTGCATATGCATGCCAATCTTGCACGAAACAGGGGGGATATTCTGCAGCCCCAAACGCTCGCCCCATGGGGCCGTCGGCAAGACGAGACAGCTACGCCGAGGCCCCCAGTTTCTAATCACACTATAAGCGGGGTTGGTCAAGGCCGTCACGGCCAACACAAGACAAAACGAAATTCAGAAAGAGGTGTGCCGGCGAGTTTGCAAACAGCGGCTCTGTAAACGAAAAATAATACGGGGGGCCGGAGGCCGATCTAAAATAACTCTCGCTACACGCCCCCCACCCCTTCCCCAACCTCACCCGGCGTGAAACGGAAAAAGCACCAACACTAATTTACAGCGCATCCGTTTCCCGAAGACCATCTACAGCCAGCATAGCCGATACAACCACCCGGTCGTCAAGCTCTACTCGGCGGTGGCCGCGGCCGGCTCCGAAGCAGGAGCCTCCGTCGCGGTTTCGACAACCTTGGTAGGCTCGGCCGCCGCTTCCGGGGCATCCGCCTGCTGTCCACCACACGGCAAGAGGGTTTGTTTTAATTTTTGGGAGAAGGGGTCAATGTTGGGCAAGAGGCGGCGTCACATCAAACGGCTTGTAAAGGAAAGCGGACGCATCTTCCTACTGTCAAATTCTATTGTCACATCGTACCGTTTGAGAACGTAAAGTCGGAGACTTCGAAACAACTTCGAAACAACGTCGGACGTCTACAACACACCGAGTGCAGCCCATAGGCGGAAGCACTTTGGAGCTCAAGCAAGCACCGACAGCAAGACAAAAGCTTGAACAGCGCAAACGAAAGGACCCCACAAGTAATGTCAAAACTATTTTCTACCAGTCGCTTGTGCAACGTTGCTTGATTATCCGGAATCGTCTTTCCTCCATCACGCTTAACGCAGAGCTTGCGCCTACTCCTTCCAGGCAAAAAATGCCCCGCAAAACCGAAAAAAAAACTACACTCAATAGTACTGCCAAAAGAAGTCCCGAAACATACAACCCCGGCTGACATGTATGTAGACATCAACCAGGTACCGAAACGTCGAGATTGGTGCCCACAATACACGCGGGGTTCGAACAATGCGAGCTGGAAAACACACAACGCTCTCTTCAATGATCAGCCGGCTAGCGCGGTCGGGGCTACTTCGAGTCACCGGTGAGCACCGCAGTCAAACCACCCGAAACACATGTCGCTACTGTGCAAACGATGGTCAATTATTATTATTACCTTGGTGAGCACCGCAGTCAAACCACAAAACATGCACGTCGCTACTGAGCATACGATGGTCTACTATTATTATTGTCAACAATTACCTTGGCCTTCTTGGCGTCGGGCTCCTCGGTCCCGCCCGAAACCTCGTCCACCGTCCGGGTGGTCGCGGCGGCCTCCTCCGTGGCAGCGGGGGTCACAGTGGCGTCTGATGCCGGTGCCGCAGCAGCAGGCTCCTCGGTGGCGGCAGGGGCTTCCTCGGTCTTCTCTGCCGTGGACTCCGCCGCCGGAGCCTGTTGTTTCACACAAACATGAAGCAAAGCGGGTACGCCTCCAAGTTAGTCAGCCGTCCTTTGAAGGTTTTCAAAACATCTAGATATCTGTTTTGGTGGAGTCGGGTTCGCCGCATTGCCAGCGAGAGAAACCTACACCACAGGTACACGCATAAGATGAGTGGCGTGAGCAGAGGTTCTGTCCGGACACGGAACGTGCCACGATTTGAGGACCTGGCGAGCAAAGAAAGTTGAAGTCACGCTACATAAATGCGACACATATGAAAAAAGTTCACAATAAGCAATATGGGGTGCGCGTTTGGACAACGTACTCGGTGAACCCTCGTCGCTGTTGGAAAACCCGACACAGATCATGTATACCAACGAGCGCCAAACGGGCTTGTACAGAAATGCCAGTCGACGCTGGAACTCGAAGAAATTCATCCCACCGTCTTTATTGTTTTCTTACGACACAAGCAATCCACCTGTATCTAAAGAAAAGGTTCAATAGATAGACAAGCAATGAATTCATAGCGTTAGCGAAGGCTACCAGTAGTTGGGAGTCCAAGTTATTCAGCTCCCGAGAATCATTCTTCACTCTATAAAATCGAAGAGTCTTTGATTTATGGGACTCAGGAGATGGTTGAAATGGTTCCCAATAGAGGTGCGGGACAAGGTTATCCTACCGGTTGAAATGGTTCCCAATAGAGGTGCGGGACAAAGTTACCTACCTCCAGTAGTACCTCCAGTAGGCTCTTTCCATCCATGTGACTGTGGGTATAGTCTGTTAGAAAAAAACAGAAGGACTACCCATTCGGGTATAGTCTATACCCTAGACACGAACGAAACAACAGCGCGCGTTTTGTGTTGAGAGAAAACTTTTACTTGCTAAAACGATCACCACATTCCCTAGGTTGTAGTGTAGGATTGTAGACAAGTTTCCAGCCGGTTTCCCTCCACTCGCTGCAAAGACTTGAGCACATCCCTTTCTGCTGTGGATATATCTCAAACGGGTAGACTTGGAGGAGACTTTCTGTGTTTTTATGTGATTTCTAAAAGACTTGACCACGGGTTGCTTGTTCAAGTTTGTATCGCATGTACGCAGAGATAGCTCTTCTGTTCTGCAATTTGACCTGAATTCCGTGACGTGTCTCCAGGGTTTTCAAGTGGTATCGTAGCAACGAATCTTCTGAAGTATATTCATCGCAGAGATCTACTGTATGTACACAAGGAAGTATTTAACAGGTATTTAACATCTCATCGCCTGGGTTGGACGTGGATTTAGCCGTGTGCAGGACCGTTGTTGTACCCCTGGAGCCCGTCACCGTTCAGTCTTGTGTCCTGCAAATCTATCTGTGGTTGTGTGAGTGATGAACAAAAAAAAAGACTTCACGATACGGCAGTGCGTACATACAGTAGTGTGAAGTGGGTGCGCGTCTGTATTCACGACCCCAATTCGCTTAAACTTCGAATGGACAACTAACAGCGGAGTGGCGTCCACGCCGGTCACTCCCCAGCGCACAAGTACCACGTAACGAATTCGGAACAGAAGGAAGAATCGCAATTTAATACTCTTGTAGTAAAAGGTGCCAAGAGGTCGCTTGAGGGCGGCGCGAGGGGGGCCGAAGTTCAAAATCTCCCCCCTGAACAAAACAATACAATCGGTGTTACCGTAGATTTGGTTTACATGTATATCAATACACCAACAGGTAGAGACGATAACGACTCACTTCCGCCGGCGCCGCCGCGTCGTCCTTCTTGACCTCCTCGGCGGCCGTCTCCGCGGCCTTCTCCGCCGCGGGCGCCTCCGCCGCCGTCCCGTTCGTCGCCGCCGTCTCGAGGTGCTTCAGGAGAGTCTCCAGCATGGCGGGCTGCTGCGCTCGCAAAAATTTGAAAATGAAGGGCGCCGACAAACAACAAGCTTGTATGAGAACTTGAGACGATTTTATGTGAGACTGCGGGGGAGGCTCAGGAAAGGATCAGGGGGGGGTAGCGGTGATCGCCTCACACACTCTCTCTCTCGCTTGCGTCCCCGCGGCAAAGCGTGTGTGTGAGAGACAGAGAGCTGGATGATGGCTTCTTGGCTGCTGCTGCGACAATTTTTTTGAATCCCCCCAAAAATCTTGGCCTCGGGATGACGACAGACACGCAGGATATCAGAATCAAGCTCGCCACGGGACGATCAAGGTACGTTCCGGTGAGACCTGCACACACCTTTGCCCTCCGCGCGCATTCTATAGCATGCCACACCCACCCACGATCGCGGGATTATTAGAATATGAAAGCCGGTGGGAAACCATACCCACTGCTGCCCTCGAGGCTTTTTCGCCGCCACAAGTCGGTCGGTCCGCTTTGTTTTTTTACCCCCGCCAAAAAGGCAAGGATTTCGATCGATCAGTAAGCGATCACCACGCCAACTGGCGACGGATCGGCGGAGAGCAGAGGTGCGGAGGGTACATGGCAATAGTCGGGGTGGATCGTCGCAGGGTTTCGGCGTGGTGGTCTGGTGTGGTACAAGGATCTCGGATGCTCTCCAGCCAGCCAGCTCTCTCTCTCTCTCTCTCTCTCTTGTTTCGCCTCTCGATTTTCGCGCGCTCTCCCAGGTGAAAAAAAGTACATACAGCAAGGACCAAACAGACTCGAATCACGCACAGATGCCGCCAAGCAACAACAGCAACCGCACCGCCCGTACCAGACCCAACGGCTGTTGGGTGGATTGAGGAATCCCTCCACCATGTCAGGATTGGTGCGACAGACAGAGGCTACTACCTAATCTCTCGCGCGAGTTTTCGGCTAGATTGCTGAAAAAAAGGCCCCAAGAGCGAGCCCAGAAAATCGGCGCACAAAACAACTCCCCACGGGGATCCGCTACAGCCCGCACACCAACACAACGACGCCGCCAGCGCTCGGGCGTAGGGCTACTCTCATCGAACCTCTCTACACTGGGCACGGGCTGCGCGCCCGAGAGAGAGCACAGAGCAGTCGGGGCTTTGATTTGGGCCAGCAACATCAGCAGTGGCGGAGAGAGCAGCGGTTAGGCAACCAACTGACCTTGAGACCTTCCGTTGGCAAGCCTCGCGAGGTCAGCTCCGTGGTGAGTTCCTCCACGCTCAGCGCCTCTGCCTCTGCCTTCGTGGAAACCATTGTGTCGAGTTGGGGGTGGAAGGAAGAGGAGAAGATTTGAGGGGGAGGAAGAGGAGGAGGCGGAGGAGGAGAGGAAGGCTGAGGAAGGGTGCTTGTGTTGTTGGGCGCGAGTTGCCCGCTAGGTGCCCGGTATAGGGGTGCTATTGTTTTTTTTTTAAGAGTTGCCCCGCCTCGGGAAAAACCAACCAATTGTCTTGGATAAACTAAGAAAAAAAAAATGGTTTTTGGCATTATTATTTTTACTATTCCTTAATTCCTTAATTTCCAATTGATAATTTCTCATAGGGATTCCCCGGAAATGATGGAGGCGTTTCTTTGGTTGGATGGCGGAGAAGGGAGGGAGCGAGAGAGCAAGAGAGAGAGAGAGAGAGAGAGAGAGACAAACAGACAGACAAGCAGACCGCAGCAGATCCGTCGAGCACAGCGATAGATATCGAATAGATAGGTGTATGTAGAGAACGAATTTGATCTCTATAAACAATACGTAGGACAGCTGTGCTTCCTTATTATTTCCAACAAGCAGCAAACAAAGCAGCACGGCACCTCTGTTTTTTTTTTTTTAATGGGCGGCAGTGTGTGTGTGTGTGATGTTGCTGCTGCTGCGGCAGCGGCAACTCCTATGTAGCGACTGCTGTATGTGCTTTTATCTTCACATCGATCGACAAGAAGTCATTCTGGCCTCCACATCATAATTACACATGCATACACGGCAGCAAACGGCAGTTCAGTGTAGTAGAGTCTAGAGGAGGACTGCAGCAGCACCTTTCTCTGTGACCCCCCTCCAGTTCAAAAGGCGACCGACCATGGTCACGCCACGAACGAGCTCTTCAACAAAAAGTGGTAACCAGAATAATAACAACATTACGAAGTAAGGGGTCTCGGATCCTAAAAAAATGCATGTATATATGTACGACCATGTAGTTTAGTATGCTCCCCGCTAGAATACGCTCGCTCCCCGCTTGCGAGATAAAAGCTTCCTTGCTATTATTGTACAATAATACATGTACCGAGCAGGCAGAACAACGCTCCCTCCAGGAAAGTACAGAGGTTGTTGCAGCCCGCCAGGAAGAATACCATGGAATCGCTCTCCTGGTGATGACGACGAGTAAAAATAGGATGCACGAAGTACCAGCCAAAGTACCGACTTGAATGCAATAATAAGAATAGACTATACAGAGGAAGCCCCCCCCCCCACTTCTGAACCCTCAAACTTGCGCGGGGGGCGTTTCTTGCTTTCTCCTTTGGGGTTACATCCACAACAGCAGTGACTTCTGTATAGGTTTTCATGACCAAACCATTGACGATGCTCCTCGCGGTGTTTGGGAAACGGCGCGAGACTTGCCACATGCCTTTTCTCCACGTTTTTTGTGGATGCCGATGTGGTCTTCTTGCGGCCACCCGAAACACAACAAATCCCAAGGATACCCTAAAGATGTTATCTCTCCTGCATTCGGAAAACATGTGATGGTCCCTACGTCTTGTTCCGAACCGAGTAAATATTCTCGTTGCGCTGGTGAAAAGAAACGCTCAAGAACACGGTCAACACTTACCACGTACGTGGGGTGCCACGGTAAAAAAAAAGGAGATATAGATATTGTTGGGGCTCTCTGCAACTCTCTGCAGCATGGATTGTAGTTTGGATTCAGGGCCGTTCAGCGAGCAGCTTGCGCGCCACACGACGGAGTCATCGACACGGAGTCAGGGCCAGCCTCACCATTCCCTTGACCTTCTTCCCTCGTCTTCCTTTCGGATACCCGACCTCAAACCAACCGTCGAGGCTGGGAGAACCGGGCCGTGGAGGTGACCTGGATGGCATTCCATCGACGACCCGAACGTCAGTTGCTCCCCGCACCAGAGGATCGTCCTCATCCTTCGCCCTTTTCTTTCTTGGGTTAAGACCAGGAACGCTCACTCCAAACACGGACGGCGATCCCCTCCCACGTTCGCTCGTCGACGTTTGATCGGCAGAAATACCCGCGGTGGCCATGCCGGTGGTGACAGTGCTTCCGCCGAGCGCATGTGGTGCCGTTCCCGGACACTCGACGTTCGTGTCCGTTATTCCTTTTTCCCCCGTCTGCATCGTGTCCTCGACCGGTATCGTTAGTCGACCCCACAGAACCGGCTTCGCGCGTGGCGTGGATGTACTGCGGCCGGTCGATTGTCCTTGGGCTTCCCCGTCATCCTTCGGCAGTTGGTCAGGCGACTGGAGCTCGTAAGACTCCGCGAGATGGTGCTGCGTGCTCGTCGTGTTCGTCTTCCTGCTCTTGAATGACATCGTGAACACGCCCCCTCTTGCATTTTTCGGAGGCGAAGTCTCTATCGCCGCCGAAATCCCGCTAGTGAAGAAAGCTTGGGTCGCGACTGACACATCCTCGTCCTCGCCGTCATCGTCTTTTTCAGAACCACTTTCCTCCTGAAGGTCCAATGCACTCGAAATATGGTTGGTGTCGTTGATGGCGCATTGGCGGCTCATACCGGAGACATCTGTCTCCTGCTCCCTGCCCTCGTCAACCGGGGTCTGCGGAGGGTCCTTGCCGCCATCCAGCCCCCCTGTGTCAACAGTTGCCTCTGTTTCGGACGACGTCAGTGGCGATTCTGATGGCGTCCACGACGACTGGCCCTTGTCTTTGTTTTTCCTGCCCTTGAACGGCGACGATAGAAGGGTCGGACTCCTTCGTCGCGTGTTTTTGGTCGTAGCCGCACTCGCCACGGAAGCTTCGTCGTCGGTTACTGAAACCCCACCATCTACAACCGACACGTGATCGTCGTCTGCGCACCTCCGCCGGGTCGACAAATCAGTATCAAGCTTCGCATCGTTACTGTCGTGTATTCCTCCCCGCTCTGTTCCAGAGTCACACAGATTGTCGGCACTCGTAGGGGATAAACCACCCCGTGATTTGTCCCCGGGCTCAACAGGCTGTCGCTTGTCTTGCGGGCATAGAGCGGGCTGGTCTGTATCCTCGGCGACGGCGTCGAGAGGTACGGACCTGTTGCTGTTGGTTTCCGTGCGGTCATGACTGTGGGTGGATTGAACACTCCGTTGGCGGCCGCTGCTGCCCTCCACGGGCGCACCGGTCGTCCGGTGTTGCGCCGTGTAGGGGCGAAGAGCCGCGGGGATAATTGTCTCCCACACCTCAAGCACTAGCACGTCCGGGGGAAAAGGCTCTTCCAACGCGGCAGGTCCTCCTGCTTGTTCTCTCCCGCGTACCTCGACGGAGTCGTCATTTTTTCCGTTGGTATCACGATTCTTCCTTGTGGGCCCACTGCTGCCCTTGCTCCTCGGACTCCACAGGGACCCCCGCGCCCTCTTGAGCAAGCTTCCTGGGGCGACGCTGTCTGCCTCTCCCTGTACGTCACGGGCCTTCTGTTCACTTTCCTGGGGGTCGCTTGTACCCACGTCGGTGGATTCTTCGCGGTCACAGGCGCCACGTGGGGCGATGGCGTCCGATGCGATGTTCTTTTTTCGCTCTCCCCTTGGGCTCCAGAAACGGGCTCCTATTTTTCTTGTCGCCCCGGGGTCGGTACAGTCTGCCACTGCCTCTCCTCCCACAGAGGCGTCTGCCGCCTTGACTGAAAATTCCGAACAGCTTTCGTCGGGGGGATCAGCATCCTTAGACGACTCACCTCGGGCATTCTGCTCGCCGAATGATTTCAGCCAGGCTCGATCGGGACGGACATGTTTATCGATGACGGCAGAGCTCTCGTTTCCTGACTCGGTGTCATCGGAGTCTCTACGGGATTCGTCTTCACTCGATAACTTGTCCAGAACGCCGTCCGCGTTGTCGGCCGTGGTTGAGGCTGCCTCCTCACTGCCGCAGTTACTAGTGCCGACGTCGCTGTTTGGTATTGCAGTGATGGTCGCAGTTTGCTTTCGCCTACCTCTTCTGGGGCTCCAGAACGACAGCTTCCTTCTGTTCAAGATCCCGCCAGCAGGATTCATGGCGACGACCTCATCTCTGGCTGCTGTACTGCCGCCGTTGGTCCCGGGAGGCGTGTTCGGGCAGCTGTCCTCGGAGTTGACGGAGTCACCGGTAGACTCGCCACTCGCCTCTCCCGTGTCTTCCTTGTCTCCGCTCCTTGTCCGGTTTTTCCTGTGCGGGATCTTTCCATCGACTCCGCCTGGAACACTAGAGTCGGTGTTGGGATCACCAGAGGATTTTTCGTTCCCCGGAATGCCGTCTGCGGCCGCCACCGTGACACGGGGCGTCGTTGCGTCTGCAGTGGCGCAATCGCTGATTCCGACGGCTTTCCCCCCCTCGGATGACACGTTTTTCTTCCCTCTACCTCTGGTGGGGCTCCAGAAAGACACCCCGCGCTTCAGTTTCGCCCCACCAGAAAAACTTCGGGGGAGTTTTGCTAGGACGGACGGTTTACTTGTTGTCTTGCCCTTCACGTTGGCCGTAGTGTCCAGGCAGTCGTCATCAGAGTTGATGGAGTCATCAGTAGACCCACCACCCGCCTCTTCCTTATCTTCGTGTTCTCCGTTCGATGTCCAGTGGATAGCTTGTGGGGTCGTCGTATTGACTGCACCTGGAACATGTCTCTCGACACTTCTGTCGGTGTTGGGATTGAAAGAGGGTTCGCCGTCGCCCGGAATGTTGCCTGCGGCCGCCACCGTGACGCGGGGCGTCGTGGCGTCTGCGGCGGTATCATCGCTGCTGCCGACGCCGCTTCTTGGTGTCGCAGTGACGGTGGTGGTGGAGGTCGACTTTCTCCTGCCTCTTGTGGGGCTCCAGAACGACAGTCCCCGCTCACGAAACATACCGCCAGGAGATTCGGTGGCGTCGACTTCCTCTTCGCCAGCGGCGCTGCCGTCGTTGATCCCCGCTGGGGTGTTCGGGCAGCTGTCCTCGGAGTTGACGGAGTCACCGGTAGACCCGCCACGCACCTCTTCCGTGTCTTCGTTGTTCCCGTTCTTTGGCCAGCTTTGATCTTGCGGGATCGATGTGTCCACTACGCCCGGAGCATCCGTCTCGACACTATTGTCGGTGTCGGGGTGAGCAAAGGTTTCGACATCGTCCTGAATGTCATCTCCGGCCGCCACCGTGACACGGGGCGTGGTGGCGTCTGCGATTGTACCATCGCTGCTGCCGACGTCGCTTCTTCGTGTCGCGGTGGCGGTGGTGGTCGACGCTTGCTTTCTCCTGCCTCTTCTGGGGCTCCAGAACGACAACCCCCGCCTACCAAATATTCCACCAGGAGATTCGGCGGCGTCGACCTCCTCTTCGCCGGCGGCGCTGCCGCCGTCGATCCCGGGAGGGGTGTTCAGGCAACTATCCTCGGAGTTGACGGGGTCATCGGTAGACCCACCACCCGCCTCTTCCCTGTCTTCCTTGTCCTCGTTCTTTGGCCAACTTTGATCTTGCGGGGTCGATTTATCGGCTGCGCCCGGAGCATCCGACTCGACACTGCTGTCGGTGTTGGGATCATCAGAAGATTCGACGTTGCCGGCAATGTCATCTGCGGCAGCCACCGTGACACGGGGCGTGGTGGCGTCTGCGGCGGTGCCATCGCTGCTGCCAACGTCGCTTCTTGGTGTCACGGTGGCTGTGGTGGCCGAGGTTTGCTGTCTCTTGCCTCTTCTGGGGCCCCAGAACGGCAACCCCCGTTTGTTAAACTTGCCGCCGGCAGATTGGCTGACGTCTCCCTCCTCATCGATTACTGTGCTGCCGTCGTTGATCCTCGCTGGGGTGTTCGGGCAGCTGCCATCGGAATTGACGGAGTCATCGGTAGATCCGCCACCCGCCTCTTCCGATGTATCGACTACGCTCGGAGCATCCCTCTCGACACTGTCGGTGTTCGGATGACCAGACGATTCGACGTTGCCCGGAATGTTGTCTGCGGCCGCCACTGTAGCACGGGGCGTCGCGATGTCTGCGGTGCTGCCATCGCTGCCTCCGTTGGCACCGCTTCGCGCGATAGATGCGTTTTTCTTTCCTCTACCTCTTGTGGGGCTCCAGAAAGATACCCCGCGCTTCGTTTTCGCCCCGCCAGAACCCCTCTGGGGAAGCTTCGCTAGGACGGACGTCTTTCTCGCTATCGTGTCCTCAGCCTTTACCGGTGTGTCTAGGGAGCTGCTGTCGGACTTTGTCAAGTCGCGAGCGAACTCGACGCGCGCTTTCTCCTTCTTCTTGTCGCTTTCTGCCGTAGCGATGACGCTGGAGGAATCCATTTCCGAAGAACTGGCATCAGATTCGGTGTAACACGAGTCATCGTCATCCTGCAAGCCGTGCTCCGCGGTAGCCCTCGAATCAACGTCGTTCAGAGCCGAAGCCTCTTCTCTTGCCGAAGCCGTCCGGTTGGTATCTGGTGGTCCCGTGTCGCGGAATCCTGGACCCTCCTCTGCCTTGCTGGCCGCAGCGGAAAATGGGTCGTCCACCACGCCGTTCCCTGAATGTCCCTCGCCACCAGGCCCACTTTCCTCTTCCGGGCACGCCACCGTACTCTCGCCACCCTCATCTCCAGCTACCACCAGCGAAGGATCAAGCGGCACCCCTGCCGACGTTCTTGGTGGTGGTCCCGGTAGCGGTAACACTTCATTCCATCGCCAGACCCAGATAGCTCTGTCGTCCTCTGCGTTATTCATTATTTCGGTACTGACTTCGCCGCCACCGCCCGAGGGAAGCAAGCGGGAGGCCACGGCAGCGCTCTCGACCACGTGCCGCCCACGGGTGACTCGAACGAACAGTGACACAGAGGAAAAGTCCTTCGATACCTGCAAGATAGGGAGGGACGGGGGGGGGGGGCGGGGTTCAATGTCGCCAGTGTTGACGCAACCCCCACGCGATTAGGGATTTTCCAGGACCAGGTGAAATAGTGACGACGAACTGTCCACGCTCCGGAAACATGCTGCCTTTTCGCGGAAAATGTGCCTTGGCTGGCTGGTTGGCTGGCTGCCGAGTTCTTTTTGGATGGAGGCTCTCGGCACTTGCCACCATTTCCCAACTGCCCTCACGGCACATCTTGGCAAGAATGCTCAATCCGCGCACAGGAAACACAGCAGTAGTGAAGTATCCAACTGCTACTTTCGACAGATATGCACCGGAACCATGCACACTTCACCTTCTTCCACGAGAACATCCCACTCCCAGACGAAGCGGCCTTGACTTGCAGCTCGTGCAGAGTCACAGCGATGCCCGAGTCGGGTTCCACGCCCTCGCCCCAACCGCTCCCCTGCTGCTCCGCTGCATGGCCGCCTGACTTCTCCCGAGGAAACGGCCACTGAAAGTCCGGCGGTCGTTCTGCGAATATCTCTAGCTCTCTCTGGGTAACGAGACCTGTCGGAAAATTGGCCGGTCGGGTGCAGGGTGATCCGGTTCACCCCCCGTGCTAGTTCAGCGGTATTCATTCAAGTAGGTCGAGAAATCTCATTGGAGCACCTGGTGTCCCGAGGCCATATACGTACTATCCCGCGGGTTTTGAATGGAGGTACCGGTTTTTCCGGGCCCGGAAATACAGGGATAAATTCGGAAGGAAATAGAATACCCGCGAGAGTTCATTCGCCCAAGAAACTGCACCTACAGCGGGTATAGCTTCGTCTGCAATGTTTTAGCCTCTGCGATGTTTTAAAGGAAGAGACGAGCGGTTTCCGGTAGGCCGGTGTCAGCCAACTGCTGGCAATAGGTTGAGAGTCAGGAGGGGGAGAAATCGGCTCGAGACACTGAGAACGATGATTCAGCATGCTTTCCCATGCTCATGCTGCCGACAAAAACACAAGCTATGACAACTATGACAACTATACGCAGTAGCTCTGCACAGTTCCGTGGAACCAGTACAATACTGTCCGTCATCACACCGCACAACGATACAAATAGGCCAAACGAATGCTAGCAAACTACGGCAACCGGGGAGAAACACCGTATTGCCAGGGTGGCAATCATCCTGCAATCTCTGTTGTTCGGCACGGACGGATGCGATCTCCTTCACCTGAAGGGTCTCTCGGTACCCTGTCGACAATCACGGCAATCCCTTCCTCAGAGAGCAGGCTTCCCATTCCAAGCCTGCTCGGGTTGTTGTTGATGTACGCATCAAGGCAGGCCAGCGAATGAGCAGCAACAGGGGTCAGGAAGGCAACATATGGAAGTACGATCCAGTCTTACGCTTGCCGCAGACCTCTGAATTGCACCGGAGTCTACCGCCGGTGTAATGCAGCAGAGCGTCCTGCACGTGTGCCCACACGTGTTTTGTGGTGGACTTTCTCGGGCAAGGCTTCAAATGGGCACACAAAACATTGTGGTTAACCTCCGGGAGCACCATGAACTTTGACCGTCTGACGACACCTCGACATCCAAAGTTAGCGCGAGACGCACGGCCGACACTCTACCGCCGATCTTGCCACCATATTTCGGGGGGTGCTTTGGGTTACGCGCGCGCAACATGGGATTCGTAACCTAGGTGTAGGGCACACCTTATGAAAATCGAGTGAAGCTCATCCGGTGTTGCGTTTCCGTCGTGGTCCACATCGAAAATCTCGAAAGCCGCACTGTAGTCAAGGCTCCCTGCCCGAATCGAAAGACGAAACGGGGTGTGACTGATATAGAGCATTGTGTGTGGCTCTAGCAGCTTTCCTCCGGGGGAGAGAGTTGGTGATGGAAGCAGTCGATGCCGACAATTGCCCCTGCGCTAGTACCGCACTTACTGGAGCCGTTCCAGCTGACCCGCCCTACCCCAGGCCCTTGTGACTCCCAGACGCGGCTGCCCTTGGTGCAAACAGTGTAGGAAACGGAACTTTTTCGACGCATGTGGCACGGCAGAGTTCCGTAAAGAAAGCGGAGATCTCACTAACGCGCTTCAAAAACAACAACCGCCGCAGAAAGGGGCAATCATTTTTTTCGGAAATTCTGCATTCGTCCACGTTTGTTGCTGTCCCTATACGGGCGTGTAGACCTGTGTTTCGCTTGCATTCAAAAACTTGAACCTTAACCCACCGTCATCCTGTAGGGCATCTTCACGCAACAGTCTCTGAAGCTCTCGAGTTACCTCGTCGATCTTGTTCCTTGCCTCGAATAGCGGATCTACTTCATGGACTACAACGTCGCTCCCAGCGGATGTACCACCAGCTTCAACCCCGCGATTCAGCACCCCCTGAAGCAATCCGGCGTCATTTCCGCTATCTGATGAGGCAGTTCTACCGCCTGCAATCTGGTCCACAGTGCCATGGGGGAAACAGCCTAGCGTATCAATAGTGGGGGTCGATGGACCCTCAGCAGCAATTTGGTGGGCCTCGCCCGAGCCCGACCCTATCCGTCCATCGTTGTCCATACTCGGCGCAGCCGGAAACTCCCCGTGAGTCATTTCCTGATCGAGTGGTAGACGCGAGTGAGGGGGTATCTCGCGAAGATTCCTCCTTCCACCAGGCCGCTCGCCTTCGTTCCCTTCAACGATAACAAACACGGGAATCTCGGCCTCAAGGCGCTGTGTGCCTCTCGAGGCGGTTTGGAGATTGGCATCACCGGCGAAGCATCCTTGGGAAAGACTCGATCTGATGGCCTCCGCACCAGGTCCGGCTATCTGCAGTGCTTGACCCACCGCTGGGGTAGTCGGGCGTCCGGTTTCAACATCTTCAGGCTCGGTTTGCACGGCGATGGCCCTCGTGCTACGCGGCGGCGGGTGCACTTCACACCTGTCCGGAGGGCATGAGTTGGTGCTTCTTATGTCGGCGCCCGCGCCTGGACCTTTAGCAGGTTCGAGTCCGTCGTGGACATCCTGTTTGTTGTTTTTTTGTGACGGATCGAGCAGTCCGGCTGGTTCTGGTGCTGCTGATGCTGCTTCATCACGTTCCCCGTTTGATGCAGCTTTCAAACTCTCCTCGTTCGCGTTTGTCCTCTGGTTTTCCCTGTTTTTGCTTCCCTCAGGAAGTCCTTCTGCTATCGTGCCTCTTGACAACATCTCGTCGGCGCCGGGGAGTGCACGGGGACTGTTTGACGATGGCTCAGAGGAGAAGAATTCTGCGTGAGAACGTCCAGCTTCCGATATCACTTTGTCGTGAGTATCCATGCATGGACGTGGCTGTTTGCTTCGCCTCTGCAGTTTTCTTGCGCTCGGTCTTTGCTGCACCTGCCGCTTTCGTTGGCAGCGAATGTCGTAGCGCGCTTGTTGGCGTGAAATATGGGATTCGCGGCCATATCGTTCGGCGACAGCGGCCGCGTTTCGTCCCGAAGAGTTAAGGATCCCCAGGTCTAGAGCCCGGTGGTTGAGGAGATGCCTGGTGTGCTCCTGCAGTATCAATAATTGATACAAGGGCCATTCAATGTCAAAATCCGCGCAGCGATGTCCCACGTGACAGAATACTATCGTGTTTCTGACCTGGGACAGTGTCGCCCACACGGCGATGCGCGCTACGACTCAAGATGGGGATTCGAAACACTTGCGTTATCTGCAACACGCACGACAGCGTGGCAGGTCAGCATGAGGCGGAAGGCTAACGCAGATAAGCCTTCGCAGACGATTTCGATGTGAAAATGTGCTGTACGCGCGAAGGTAGCAGGAATTCTTGTGAAAGCTGTGTAGTTCTTGCCGAGAACAGCACACGTCCTCCGTTTCTTCGAAGTTCCAGATCCTAAATCAAAGTGCGCGAGTTGTTGCCGTCTATGAGACATCCCGTTCGGCATTTTGCAGGGTGAGGGTTAGTCCTTGGCCATAAATCTTGTTCCTTGGATCATAATCCGGGAGAAGGAGGTGTCTGACCCTGTGACCAGAACCATACCGATGTAATGCATACCAGAGCGTCACCGTTAAAGGGCGAGAGATCAAGGTCCTACCCTCAGAGGCAATTCAACGTGCAATGTGGCGAGTTCTCTCCGAAGCTACATGGTAACCCACCTCCAAACCAATCTTCAGAGATATCATGAGCAGGGTATCGCCCTGTTCTGGCTCTACTCCCGCAGGAGCACCCCAGCACAGCTCCAAGGCATCGCAAGCGTCGACGCACCAGTACCACGGCCAAAGGTTGCCCCCTACGTGCTGGGCAGTTCTTGAGCTGAGCATGGCGCACCGGGCAGGCATCGGGACAGACATCGCCGGGAGTGGCCGACATCGCCAGAGACCGTAGGAAATCAAACACGATGGACACGAGGAGTTGGAGAACACGGTATGACAATGAATGTCCCTGCTGCTTCGTGCAGGTCGAGTTGACTTGTGGGAAGCTGCGCTACTTGCGCACACTCGGGGCTTCGAGGTTGTGACTGTGTCTCGTCGCGTATTTTTTTCATGATATTCACCGGACTAGGAGGAGGTCACAGGCAACCAGATGTCCCCCGGTGGGTCTTCAGATCTGTTGCAGATGCTATTTGCGAGATTTCTCCCTTCGACTTTTGCTAGAGCCGCTTTCGTGCAGAGCTGAGCACCAGAGCAAGGGCGTCACGGAAACTCTCGTATACTAATGAGTACGATGGTGGGGCTTGTCCCGAAGATGTACTTACACTAGACTGCTACCTACTTCTTTATGAATGTCGGACGGAATCACGGTGAACGCTTGTACCTGGTAGTGGTGGTCGATTCACCATAACATACACCGAAATTCCCAACGGCGGGCGGAAGGTTTACCTGGCAAGTTCAATATTTACTCATGGAAAAAGACAATGGCAATAATTCATGGAAAAAATAAAAATGTGACTCATGTTTGTTTACTGTTGTAGCTTTACCTGTACTGAAAGTTAATATTCGCTGCTCCCACTCTACGCTTCCGAAGGAGACGCTCGAATGACTTGGCCTCCCCATTTCTCGCCACATGGAACAAGCGTCTTGTGGCGTCAATCAGTTGTTGCTGCGCCGGGCACGCTTGTTCTGGAACGACGCCAACAGATACGTGGTCCAGGGCAATCGGTGGCTTCACTGCGTCGATACCTGAACAAGATCCAGCAGTATGTCGCGGGAATGGTGGCACTTCAGAATCGCTGGTCTGGTACACACTAGTCTATAGACTTTATGGTACGCCCAGGCGTCATTTTGGGGAAGATTTTGAATTGTTCTATGTACAGTATGTTGCATACATAGACTACATGTACGTGTCGCGACGCTCGTCATTATCTACAGTCGGACCCATCTACTGACGTAGCCCTATCGGATGCATGGAAACTCTTTCTTTTCAGGACATGGATACGTACCGGCATGAACGAAACTTGGCAGAGCCGCACAAGGTGCATGATGGCCAACAGGAACCACCTTTCGGTGTGCTGGCATCGGATAGCAGTGTTGCCCTTGTCTCTCTATCGTACAGTTCAACTCGCGCCGGCCCCGAACGCGGTGAAATTATTTTTGAAAATGTTCCCGTTCGAATGAAACCGCCGCTTTTTCGACGAATTTCCCGAAATACCGCCAGCGCCAGTCAATTTTGCCTGTCCCGGCCGCACTCATCTCTCCCCTCTCATGCTACCCGCAAAGTCGCTGCACCCAGACTTTCGATGAACGGCGTAGATGACGAGCTGTGGAACATCTTCACGTTCTACTCGCTTCGAGGGAATCCCCTCGACCTCACGAGGCTCTCGGTGCGTGGACAGCAATACTGTAGTGCGACACGCAATACGTGCATTCTTTCCCCGCGTGCTCGTCGCCTCGCGATCCTTTTTTTATATCGGTAGCGTTTGTTTTTTATTAATAGTAAATACATGTGTCTGACAAGTATTTTTACATTTATTGGAGTACCGCGCGCAGCGTTCAGCTGCACATGTACTGGATATGCACCACATGATAACATCCCATGTCAAAACATACATGCTGCGTGTACGTTACAGTATGTACCTCTGGGTCCAACTCCGCAACCTAAGGTCGCGTGGTATGAGGAGACGCCACGTCACATAGGTGCCCGTTATCATTTGTCATGCATGGCGCATTTCGACCACGCGTATTGCTTTCACCCTAGCCAGGCGATATCTATGTGCTCCGACGTCGCGCTACATGCCCAATGGGCAACACCTGATGGCTGTCATCCATGTATATTCACTTCTACAGAACGGTCGCGGCACGAAGAATATTTCATCAGTTCTCACACCTCGAGAGCTACTGTACGTTATTACATGCCAGCATTGAAATGGATAGTCGCAGCACCGAAGAAATCCTCATATTAATAAGAATATCAGGTAGATATAGTCTGTAGATTGCTGTGCTGCGGCTACTTCCTGCCCTTCGCACAACTTTGTCTTTTTGTCTTGGTCCTATCAACTACTATTAATCGCGACGGCTTTCGGCGGCGAAAAAATATTTGTTGGTTTAGCCTCCTGTGATTCCCCAAAATAATCTGTTGCCTTGATTTGTAAGAATATTATTTGGTGCATTTACACGTACAACAACATCAAAGGCGTGATTGGACCCCAGGTTTGATCACTCCCTCCACTCTTCCTTTGCTCTTCTCTCCAAGGTGAACCAGTTTCTACGCCTAGCCAGGGACTGCCAGATTGTGAACGGGGGTGATGCTGCCTCTAATGGAGGTCTCCGGGCGGCAGAGGCTAATCTTGCGTTTGCTTCTGTTATCCAGGGAAGGACACAGGTGCATCGAAGTTGCCGTTTTTTTCGTGCTGAGAGTAGTGCTGTGCAAATAAGGACAGGAGAGGATGGTAGCGTTTGGAAGGCTCTAGGTTGCGTGTTCGAATCTCTTTGGGGGGAAAAAAGCAAGAAACTCGCTATGTGCAGGTGGAACGCGAACATTTGTAAGTCCGCAAGACAAGGAGGGAAGAGACTGCGGCATCCTTTCGCTTTGCAACGAAATGCACCGAATGCAGTAGGAAGGTGGCGAGTTCTTCCTGTGTGACCCCGGCTGGCGTGTCAGACCTAACCCGGAAGGGTTAGACTGGCGCCTACAATATATGGGACTGGAAATTCGAACAAACGGGAGGAAAACACCGTAACCAGAGAATATGCGAGTAGGCATAAGTTGTGGTCAGACTGAAAACGGCCAGCAGAGGAACTTGAAGTTCTACGCCGAAGGTTTTGTTAGTTCTTACAAAGCGTGATGATTCGATGATTGCAGTCATCGGACAGATATCAGTGGCTCTAGGCGGGGTTTGGTGGGAGCAGCGCCAGAACACCTTCAAACAGTCGCTTGTGGCCGTATCAGTCTCATGAAAACCCGCGCAATTCCTTTCACCGCGCGCGCACGAAGTAATTTCCCTCCTCTATCCAATGATGTCCGCTACAGGTGGTGTCGAAAGACCGTTGGGCTCGAACGCACCAAGGCATTGCCCGCCCACCCGAAGCAGATATCAAGGGTGCCACCGACAAGAGCAGGCTTACCTATCCGGAGTTTCTAGACGCCCTTATGGTTTTAGGCGAACGCATGTATCAAACAGTGACTCCCAAGAGATCAGGACCAAATCCCTCCGCGGGTGGAGATTCAACGTTGAGAAAAGCTCGCTGCAAGCGGAGTGTGGAGTCCACGTTTCAGCAGGTAAAGCTATTGGCGTCAGGCATTAGTGGTCGGAAATCTTGTCACTGCCTATGATGTGTCGTGAGAACCTGGCCCGACCGGTAAAGATACACGCCCCCCCCTCCCTACGACCAACAATTCTGCCCAACGCAGCTGCTCATGGACCACATCCTGCCTTTGGCGTCGCGGCGACGACTTACGTCAGCTGCTGCGGCCATGTGCGACCCGCTTGTGCGAGATCTTCTGCGCCACTTCGCCCCCGCGCTACGAGAAATTTTCAGGTGCGACGGTGTTAGTGATGTGCCCAAAGCGCAACCACGTTCGTTTTTAGGCTCTCTCTTTGTACACCTTGCTACTTCTTCACGATGACGGCGACGAGGGTCTGATTGGACGTGCTAGATGGTGGTTGTGATGATATTCGACCCCCCGCTCCTGGTGACTTGCTTAACCAGGTTCTACGCGGTGTCGTCTTGTTCAACTGCTGCGAGAAAGACACCTCCCAAAAACGGCGGAAGTGTTAGTTGCAGGGGCGGGGCTAGGAGAGATGCACCACCGTCCAGTCTCGACTGTATCGAGGAGCAAACCGAGCTACCACACAAGAGGGAGAACCTAAAAAATCAAACGCCATCCGAGTCTCCTAGCGTCGCCCCCACCGCCACTACCGCCGCCACCGGCACCACGACAGCTACCGCCACCACCATTGCCACTGCCCCCCCCCACCCTCCCCCCTCCGCCACCCCCAGCCCCACCAGTATGTCCACCACCGCCCCCGAGACCGCAACGGAGACTGGGTCCGTGGCTTCCTCCTCCCCCCCTTCCTCCTCCTCTACCCCTGCCTCCTCCCCCCCCTCCATCCCTGTCCCCGAAGCTACTTCCGACGCCAATGTTGTAGTCACTAGCGAGGAGACGGCTGTTGCTGGCTCCACCACCGACTCTTCCCCGCCACCACCTCCAACCAGCAGTAGCTTGCCGTGCCCATCCTCTATCTCGTGGTCCCTCCCGCAAGAAGAAACCACCTCCACCACACGCTTGCACGGGCGGGTCGCGGATGCCTTCGGTGTTGGCGACTGCGGGAGCGGCTGCGGTACTCCGAAAGACGGAGGCAGAAAGAGCACCAGGGGCAACCAGCGAGGGACTGCGCGGGTGGCGGCGATGAACTCCATGGCGGATGCCCTCTCGCACCAGTGCCTGCTGCGTTTCGCGGCGGACTTCGGCCTGTCGGGGGTTCTCTTGTCGGCCCTAGAAGTCGGCGAGATTTTCCTCTCGTGCGAGGGTGAGCAAGAGTTCCACCGGTTTCGTGTTGTGTTTTTTTCCCCACACCCAAGAGGTGAACGTATCTACCGAAGGGTAATTCGACATTTTCTACTCGTTTTTTGCGCACGCCGGAGTTGACACTGTGAGTGCGCACGCATGCCAATCGGTTCCTTCGATTCGGTGTCTCAATCCTCGATCATCGTGTGCTTCTCATGCTGCCTCGCCGGCAGGAGGCCTTGCCGACAGCCCGTTCGGGGAGGCACTGGCAGGAAACGGCACGAATTGTTCGGGGAGCGCCCGTCGTAACAGCCTAGCGCGAGCGGGCAAGGGCGGCATAAGACCACTTGCGTTCCCCGAGTTTTTGGAGGTATGTGGATCCGGGCGTGGGGTAGGTTGAGCGGCGTCCTCGAGAATCCGGCCGGTTTCCTCGTCGTTGACGAGGTTTGACGGGATCGAGGACGCGCGCTGGAAGCAATGAACTTCACTCCGTCATCTGCTGGTGCCCCAATTTTCTGTAACAACAAGACGTTGACTCGAGTATTCGCAACAGTGTTTCCGATATTCGACAAGTCCCGGCCCTAGGGTTGCGTCAGATTGTATCGAGAAGAGGCGTAACAGCAAGATCGGCGAATACCCTTCAACCAAACGCCTTAGCGAAAAGCTTCTGTGTCGCGACTTGAAACCTTCTTGGACGTTTTTCTAAGAGAAAACAGTTTTGGTCCAGAAGAACCCCCCGTGCACCTCCGGCTTGTGGGGTCTTCACGCCTTGGTAGCTGTTACCCAAAATTTGATTTGGCGTGGTAAACGCAAGTGGCAGACATCGTTGTGAATTGGAAATGAGCATTACTTTAGCGATGTCGTAACGTTTTCCCATTTCCTGCCGTCCCTCATCTCTCGGCGAACGATTTGGTGTTTCGTTAGGCCTTGGTTCGAATTTCATTGGAGTGTTTCCGCTCGAGGGGCAGCGGCGTTTGGGACGTTGGACGGGAAGACTGTTGTGAGGTTGTCGCGCCCGGGCACTGCTTGCGAGCTCTCTTGACGCACATGTGGAGAAGACTGCACGACTCCTCAGAGCTCGCCCTCAACGGGGTTCGAGCGGGGGGAACAAGACATAGATCGAGTATTCAGAAGGTGATATTTTGTAGGGGCCTGGAGGGTAAGCACGCAGGCTGCTGATACAGGACTATATTTAGCTAATTGTTTTCAAACAGAGGACACGATGCAATGAAGGGAGGTACCTAAACCGCCTAGGCGTTGTTGCTACATGGTGGATGCTCTTTGGCCTACCTTGAACATCGACAAATCCATGATATACTGCAGATAGAATAGTTGGTTCGCTGGATCGAAAGGGACCTGACCGGGCGATTTTCGGCAGAGTCTTCTTCGAGGTGTCTTTCTCAGGAAATGCCAACACAAATGGATCTTAGCGTGAGGGTGGCTTCCAACATATACGAACACCACACAATGTGAACGCTAGCTCGCGAGAACCGCCACACCTGCACCACACCCGCCCCACGTTCCGTTTCACGACCACTTGGACGCACAGGGAGCGCTGCTGAAGGGCGTGCAACTGTTCAACGAACAGATGCTTTCCCGTTGTAGGGCGGAGGGTTTTCAGGACTTTGCCTCAGGTAGCGCCTCATCCACCACCTCAACATCAGCCGGGACGTCTCTTTTGTACTCTCCTCGACAAGGACATGCGATGGAACTTCTACGGACTTTGTTAGCTGCCGGTGAGGGCGACGACGCTGCCGGCGGAGATGGAGACGACGCGGAATCGACGGAGAGATACGACGGGGGGCGGGATCGGCATACCAATGGGGTTGAGGGTGCGGGAGGGAGTGGCAGCGTCCCGACCGGGGAAGACCAGACAGAAACGTTGGCGTCGAGACGACCTCTTCTGGTATAGCTGTGGTGCTCGGGTTGCCGTCGAGAGGACCTCTCGTAGTATTTTATTCATAGCTTTGAAGCTCGGTATTGGAGGATGTAAACAAAGGGAGTGCTGACCTCCCACGGCTATTGCTTGTTTGTGTCGCCTGTCGGTAAATACGCTAGGTAACCAAGGCTTTCCTCTTGCCGAACCTCAAGGTCGGCGGCGAGAGACGTAAACGGTTACATATTTTCCTCTTGTACAAGGTCCTAACGGCGTCCATTGTCTTGCTCGTCAGATCCTAGTATGTACCTCGCCGTGCGTACGGTAGTCCGTTTGAGCGGTCACTGATCGAAATGGCCCTTGCCCTATATACATACACGCAACCTTTGGCACTCGAGGACTGAAACGGAACCACCGGAGACAGATGGCACACATGGAATCTTAGGAGTGGGCGCCACAGGAGGCAACGCACCTCCGGCGGGAATATAGATGCCATGGAAGGCCAAAACACGAAGCAATGAATGGTGCTCCGCGAAGCCCATCTCGCGCAAGTAGTGGCGTCAGCGAATCCAATGCCATTGTATGACCTCGTGTTATGGTTTCGCTCTACTGAAGATGCGAAGGCGAAACAAATGCAAGGCAATTTTTTGCTGTCGACGATTCATACAGAAGTAGTAGGCCCAGATAAGGAGTATGCCGACCTTGTGGGGCTTGTCAACATAGCGAGCTCGCAATAGCATCATGCCTATCGTGGAATTATTTTGTAAATCAACGAGCTCAATGCAACCCCGGCCGCTGTTACACTGGTGCCCAGGCATTGGCACTGGTAGGCTGTAATCGTCCCATGACCAATTTCTTTGTAGATGCGAGACCCCTTCTCGCAAAGCCTCTCTCCGCGATCCATCCAGTGCCACCGAATAACGTTTCTGGAGACTTACGTCAAAACTGAACAGACGGCCCTCCAAATAATATAATTCACCATGGCTACGGAAAAATGGATGTTGTGAGCCACTAGCGAGCACGGTAGTGGGGCGGTGACTCTTCTCCTTGCTATTGCAGCCGTATTCTGACACCCCGCCAAGTCCGTGCGCCTTCAATAAGGGGTGGGGACGACAAACAGTCGACAAAGACCGTTCGTTCTTCATCTTCCTCTGTTGATTGCAAATAAATGTGCGTTGATTGGCATGCTTTACTACGGAGCAATTCGTTCCCAGGGCCTCGTGGCCACCGCTATGCGGACGAGGTATCGGGGGACAACCCACTCCACTGAAAGACAAAGTGTTGGGGCACGCGCAACGTTGCTTCTCTCTCCTCTCAACGACGAAGAGTAAGATACAGTAGTACTGTAGATATCGTACCGTAGGATCGGGTGGGCGGAGGCTTTCGTGTAGCGGGGACAATCGTGTTTTCGTCAAGAACCCAGTACAAAAAAAAAACGACACGAAGGACAACAGACTCACCAGCCGCTTTGTGGGGGAACTCGATCTTCTGGATTGCTGCGATGGCTCTGCTGTGACGGCCCAGGTGAGACAATGTAGTGCCAGGGTAGAGGGATGGAAATCCTCCGTGGTGGGCCACCATCTTCCTCAGTTTCTCGGGTATAGTACAAGTATAAGACTGGTGTCCAGGGCTGCAACATGATGCCATGCAGGTTGCTTGAAAAGCGGCAGCAGCGATTCTGCTGCTGCTGTGTATCAGGTCCTTGCGCTGGGGAGGTTGCCCGCACACAGGGCACCGTCCGCCCCGCGGCCTCTTGCCCAGAGACCTCTCCACCCAGGCTTTGGAACGCGCAGCGGTGCGCGGGAGACGACGCACATGTGCTCTGCAGCTGCACAAGATGTCCCTTGGGTGGAAGCCGTTCAGCACATGCCCAGAGACTCCTTCTTGCCTATCGTCTGTGCAGACCCCAGGGGAAGGGTGTGCGGAGTGTTTCTCTGCACTCCTAGCTGCAAGTAAGACACATGTTCATCTGCACGCGAACCCACGCACAAGGGCAGAGAACAACGGGTGTTTCTATCCCTCTGGGTGGTGTATGGCACACGTAGGTTGATCGTCTAGCGATCCCATCGTGGGTAAAACTCGTTCCGGCCAAATGCCCGTCTTGTCGTTAGCCCTGATCCTGGCGGAAAGTTTTTTTTTTTTTTTTTCCTTTCATCGGTAGACTGCAGTGCCGCGGTAGTAATGCATTACTTGACTACTGTTGTAGTCATCGTCTGGTCGACCAAGGACTGTTGACAGCAGCAGTGCGGGGTATGTAGCCCCCCTCCCTGCAATGTGCATTGTTATTTCTCCCGCAGGCGCACGCGTGGGAATAATCTTCCGATATTCAGGGGACGAGGGACGATAATCTAAAGCACCTTGGGCATGCAGTATTTGTGGGGACGAGGGACGATAACCTTGTTCTGGATACAGTACTAGCAGCGTGAAGTTTAGACCCGAGTGTAAGAGCAGGCGTAGGTCACTAGCATGGTAGCGGGCAAGCGGTGTGGTTGGTCGTCGACCTTGCCCACTAGAACGTTTGTGCAAACGAAGTACTACGCCGTGTTGCATACTGCTGTTTCGTCACCACCCCTGTTCACCGCCGCGTGCCCTCCCTCCCTCCCTCCCTCGCTCTCTGCAAGCTTACAGCACTAACTCCGGCGACGCGAGTTCGACAACGTTATTGACAGCATGCATGCATCGAAGGCAAACCTGCCTCTCGCGTCCACATCCCCACCACTTTTTTCTTGCGTCCCTTCCAGCGAGAAAATTACATTATCCAAGAAGTATCTTCTGGCATCGGTTTCCGCACAAAGGCTTGAGCCATGCCGTCGAGCAACCACCCCTCTGGTCGCGGCGAGGCGTGGAAGGCACCACCACCAGGTGACGCGCAGAACGTGGCGCAGCTGCTGCGACGCCGCCGGGAAGGGAAGATTCCGGTGGGTGTTCCATTGCTTCTTTGCTTCCTGTCGCTGCCTGTCTCTCCTTTTTTGTCGCCCTTCGTTCTTGCTTGCAAGAAACTGACGTAATATCTGACTGACCGACTGTTACTTAGGCGTCGACGGGTGGCGGGGTCTTGGGAGGCAGCACCAGCGCCAGGGCGACGAGCGCCGCCCTTCGCGGCATCAGGGGTGTCGGAGGCAGAGTGGGGGCGGGAGGAGTCTCTATGCCGAGAGCTTTTGGCTTTCGTCGGAATCTGGGGCAGCACCCGTCGATGATCCAAAGGCTGAGGCACACCGCTACGCTGCGTGGCCACTCCGGTGAGTGTACCTGCTCGGTTACGGCCCTCGTTCGCCTTTCCTTGGTTGTCTTGTCCCGCCCTCTTTTCGAAGTTTCTCTCTCTCCCTCTCTCTCTCTCCCTCTCTCTCTCTCCCTCTGTCTGTCTGTCTCTCCCTGCCTGCCTACTTTGTCTGTCTGTCTGTCTGTCTGTCTGTCTGTCCATGTCTCCGTCTCCGTCCCTTGCGCGGTTTCGATATCCCTGCGTCTCTCTCCCTCTCTCCCACCAACACACCCACCCCCAAGACAAGGAGGCGTTGTCTTTTGTTCCCCTCTGAGCTCGACGCGTTTCCGCTAGTCAGCCCGTGAGCGCGGTCGACGTTGTTGCACCATTGCGGCGACACACACACACGCACACAACTGAGACTGACTTGTTTTCATTGGTCAGCCGCTTAGCGCAGTCGACGCCAAGTAACAAACACTCACACGCACTCACGCAAGACTGGCGCCTCTTCGACGGTAGCCGTCCGGTGTGCGCGGTGGAGGCTACTTTAGCAAACACACGCTCGGGCACACTTCGTAGGTATTTGATGTCCTTGTGGGTGACGACCATATCCTTCATGGTCCCCTAACCCGAGGATCTTGGCTTTGTTCCTGCTTTTTAGACTGGCGTCTCTTCGTTAGTTGACCGGATAGCTCGGATGCTGCTACAACGGAAGAAGCACCCCCACGGCCGTCCAGGCGTGCTATCTCCCCCCCTTCCCCACGCTCTTCTATTTTCCTTGTTGCGGTGCCTACCGCTTGGGCACACCCTTTCGTGATTCTCGTGGCTTGACCGACCGGTGTGTGCCGGTTAAGGGTGTGTTGTTTGGCTTCCCCTCCGTGCCCTCTCGCGGCTTGACCGACTGCTGTGTGCTCGTGCGCGGTCGCGCTTTTGTTGTTGTTTCTGCGCGCTGACCAATGAAAATGCGCCAGTCTCAGTGCGGCTCAAAGTCTGCGTATGTGTTTTTGCTTGGGTGTTCAGGGTGCGTCAACCGGCTGTGCTGGAACGACGCGGGCACGCGGATCGCCTCGGGCTCCGACGACACGACTGTCTGCCTCTTCGACGCGGCTTCGGGCAAGCGGGACGTTCAGTTTCAGACCGGCCACCGGAGGAATATCTTGAGCGTGAAGTTTCTTCCTTGCACAAACGACCAGGTAGATTCAACAACAGCTGCCGTGGACGCGAATCAAGAGGCACAGCAGGTTTCGTAAGATCCTAGGAATATCTTGAGCGTGAAGTTTCTTCCTTGCACAAACGACCAGGTAGATTCAACAACAGCTGCCGTGGACGCGAATCAAGAGGCACAGCAGGTTTCGTAAGATCCTCCCCCTCCCCCCTCGACCGTTTTTCACGGCCCGATTTACTCTGCAGCAGTAGCAGCAGAAGTGACGGTGTCGAGAAGAGCGGCGTAATAATCGTCTCGTCGAGGCCTTTTTTACGACACCGCATAATTTGTTTTTTGTCGTGCGTTTTTTTTTGTGGGGTAATCGAGCTTCGAAATCAGTCCAGGGGGTGTGGTATCTAATGCGACGTAGGGGTACTTTTGTCTATCCACACTCATGTCGCGGGTGCACCAAGTATTGGTTTGACGAAGGGGAGGGAGAGAGGAAACGCACGGCGGTGGGTACACCCTGTCAGAGCAAAATCACACCAGGAGGACGTCGGTTGTTTGTTGGCGTGCGTATCGTGTTTTTCCTCCTTTTATCTTCTCCCTCTATCTCAAGCCTCCGGCTGCAAGCCATGCAAGTTTCCCGCGGGGAGGAATCTTGCTCCTCGACTTTTCCGTGGCTATCTGAATCTCATCGCGCGCAATTAGTGCCCGGCCACAGCGCTTTTTTGCAGTCCTGGGAAGGCAGATGTTTTGGGATTTGAGTACAAGGACCTCAGCGGTTGTTCCAGATTACACTTGTAGGCTTGGCGGGGAAGTTGCAACTCCCTTGGAAGCTGTTCCTTCAGATTCTCCGACAAGCTAATCTACATCAGGGTCTTCAGGGATAGCTGCGTGTGTGCACCTCACAATAGAGGGTGGATGAGGTTGTGGGTGCTACAGTATCGCTGCCCCCTCTCCTGCGACGTCCTTTCGCTGTTTGCTGTCGAACGCTGGGGATGCGAAAGTCACACAGCACCGCGCATTACCCCCCGAGACTATCGTTGGAGCACACTGGTGGAACCCAGACGATCAACGGTCTACATTACATATGTAGACAACGAGACAGCGCTACGTTTCCTCGGCTTGGTGCTGAGGAGGCAGTTTCGATGCTCAGAAACGCGGCTTTCGGAACCCCTGATATCTGCTCGTATTCACATACAAGGAGAGCGGTTTGGCAGCGTGAAACAAAACGCGTAGAGATGGGATAGGAAAAAGCTTTGACGCATGACGGAGTAAGGGCGTCGGGAACATGGGATGACCCCCCCCCCCCATCCCCGCACGTCTGCGTGGCGGGATGATGATCGATGCCGCCTTCTCTCTCGACAGATATTGGTTACCGGAGCGATGGATGGGGAGGTCCGTCTTCACAAGGCGCCGTTCTCTTCACCCGAGCTGACCGAGTGCTTCTCATGCCACGACCAACGCGTCCACGCTGTCGAGGTGAGACTCAACAAGACGGTGAAACCGCGCCACCAGACAGCAGCACCCAAGGCCTTTCAGTGGTTGTCGAGTTCGCTGTCTGATTTCTGGTTGGCACTCTTCATCCGGCGGTGCTCGTGTGGAAACCAACCGTGGTTCCGATTCGGGTGGCCATGGTGGTCTTCTCGACCCTACAATCCACCATGAAAGAACGGAGTTTTCTTCTGGACAATTCCTATCAAAGGTTTAGCTTTTGCAAGCTGCTCGGATAGACGGGAGATGGCGCAGGGTTTGCGTTTGAAATTTCATCTTTATCTTTTCACCCTTTTCCCAACTCCCCCGTCCCGTGCAGGTGGAGCCGGGCAACCCGTTCATCTTCTGGTCCGCCAGCGAAGACGGGACTGTCATGTACGTACCGTTTGTAGATGCGTACCTTCTCCCAGAACTCTGCCTTGTTTGTTGCTGGCTTTTCATGGCCGAGTTTCCTCGCGCAGGCCCTCCAGGTCTAGTTTCGTCGAAGGCCGGATCTCCGCGCATTTTCCTGACTTTGGGCTATGACGTATTACCTCGGAATTCGTGACCATGTCCGTTTTCTGTGGAGGTCATTTCCTCTATGTTGCGAACCAGTGGGGGACAGTCTCGAGTTTTGCACCTATTGCTTTGTCGCTCATTCGAAAGCGCTAACGACAACGGTACGAGCCAGGCCCTTGTACGTAGCCTCTCGATGCAAAGGGTAGCGGTTTTTATTTTTCAAGAAGGTCGTTGTGGCAATGTCTCTCTTGTTTCTCCATCTACTTGACGAGACCCTACTTGTATTACCGAGGAAGTGAGTTCGTTTCAGACAGCGTGTGTCAAGGCTCTCCCCCTGACGGAGCTGCTTGAAAATAGAAAAGAACAACGCTCACGCCGGGTTCGCTCCTGGTAGTTTTGTTTTGGTACAGACAAACACCACGTCTGCTGGAAGTCTACTCGTAGACTCGGGAGAGAGGATTGAAACCGCCACCCGTTTCTGCCAACCGGTACTTATGTGGCTTCTACTTGTCATAAATATCCGTTTTTCGGACGTTCCTCGTTTGGGGAGGCCATTGTCTGCCGGTTTTCTGCATGTAACGGCAAGACCCTGGGAGTTATGACCTGGGAACCCAACAGTTGAGAACTTGACCAAAAGCACAGGTGCTCGGAATCCTGCTCTTTTGTTACATTCAAAGCCGTTGAGTTTGTTACCTCACGGAGTAGCTTGAGTGGTGGCGTGTTCTGTACGGTAGCTTGTGAAAACCGAGGGCAGATGTTCTCTAGTCCGGCGTAATGACCGTGGTCGACAAGCCCGCACCCTAGCCTTGTGTTATCTCGCTCTCGCTTCGCTCTCGCTTCGCTCTCGCTTTGCTGTCTCATCTACACGGTCGCGTGCATCCCATTGGCTGGCAGGCAATACGACCGCCGTCTGCCGAACGCTGGCCTCGGGGAGGGGAGGGGGTGGGCGGACAGCGGGCAAGGCTCCCTCGCGGTACGTTCCACGGACACGTGCACGTTGTTGTCGGAATATCGCGGCATCGCCGTTCAGTAGGGCCAGCTTCGTTTCGATGACGTGTGCATGCCATCGCCGGCTCATGAGGATCAGGGGTTCGCTAGAGAACTGATACCGCCGCTAACAAGGCAGAGTTTTGAAGGTTGGTCCAGGGATTGTGGCACCTTGCGCAACCTGGGCTTACTTGTTGCTCGGGTTATCCGCCTGCGTTGGCCCGCTGGCCGCTGACCGTAGAGGTGCTATCCCTTGGCTGTTCTTCTCCCCGCACAGCTTTTTTCGTGCGCGTGGGGCATCCAGCGTCATCTTGCCGCTTGCGATAGATAGCGTACCATGATCTTTCCCACCGATAGAATGGTTCCGTTTTGCGCCGATCGGGCCGGGGGCAAGATTTTCAGTCACGGACCCGGAGCGGCAGGCAGATCGCAGCAGTCGTAGTGACTATTAGCATGGGTAAAGGCGTGAGTGTGGGTGGTGTTGCTTGCCCGACTGTCTGCCAGTCTTTCGGCAAGGGTGGCGTTCTCCCGCGTGTGGCCTCCCTCCTCATTGACCGAACTATTTTCCCCCTTCCCGCACGCCTGGTCCGGTAAGAACCCGGCATGCTCCGTCTCGGCTTTGATGGGAGGCGAGGTCAATGGTCTAACGACTACGGCATGCACGACTATGAGTATACCCCCCCCCCCCCCCCCCCCTTCCCGCACGCCTCAACGACACGGAAGGGGCGACTCCGACGCAGAAGAAACTGGGGCAACTGTCTCATCAAGCTACCGTCGCAGGCTGACTACGCCGCCGGCGGTGGCGACAGCGGCCAAGGCGGGGGTGTTTCGCAACAGCAGCCACCATCAGGATGGGAGGCCCGCGGCAGCCGAGCGTTTCACCTCGCCTGCAACCCCGTCGACGTCCACTACCTCGCCGTGGCCTGCGGTGACTACGTCGCCAGGGTGTACGACAGGAGGTGCGACGGGGAATGAGGTTCAGTTTATTCGGGGCCGTTGGGCAAGGGGGCGACGGTAGGGGACCGCATCTTCGCGAGATATAACGTTTATGAGGAAATAGAACGAGAAGCAGCTGACTCGCTCTCGTGAGTACCAAACTTGGACGTTAGCACCGTTGACGAGGGAACGGGGCGGCTCGACCCTTCATGCGATAAAGAATAGCTTTCAGCACAAACCGCAGGAAGAAGGTTGGGGCACCAAAAGCGAAAAAGAAGAAAAAAGCCCAGTGTTTACCCCCTCCTAGTTGACCCTGGATGGTTGTACATGTAGGTGCAAGGAGGGGGTACAAAGACCGCCCCGTTAATCCCGACCTTAACCCAAGTTGCCCGAATGCGTGCTTTTTCCAAAATGTTGACTTGGTAGAACATAAAGGATACTGAGGCTAGGCCAGGATGTCCTCTGAACGGCGGCTCACGGGCGGCGGACGGCGTGGCATATGACCAGAAACTCGGTTGTTGATCGTTTGTGGAGTCAATGTCTGCGTAAGGGTGCCCGTGTTTTTCTTCGGGTTGTTCTCGTGCCGGGCATCGGGTCGATCTGCCACGGCGTCGTACGAACGCACCAAGAACACGGAAAAAGATGTCGCGAAGACTGTCACCCCCCTCTCGCACGGGCATGGCCTTTCGGTACCTCGACTCAGCCGAGACGCGGTTTTGGGACTCACGTGTCGCTCGTTTTCTCGACGACCGTTGTCACCATGTCCATCACCAAAACCACGCCGCGCGACACTAATTGCCCCACGTCGACACCAGCCCCGACATGTTCACTTTTCCCGCTCGCTCTTCCCGTTCTCGAGGCAGGGTGCTCTCGACCGGGTATGTTGACACGTCCAGCGGCGGCAGCGGCGGCGGTGGCGGCAACCGCGGTCGACAGCCGCCGCCGGCCCTATCGTTCTGTCCGGCGAACGAACACCCGGCGGCGGGGAAGGCTGCTGCCGCCGCCTCGTCGTCTTCTTCTTCTTCCGGTAGGGGGGGCAGTGCCCGCGGAGGAAGCGTGGGGACGTTCGGCACCGCGCGCCACGCCACGTGCGTGGCGTTCAGCCCCGATGGGCGGGGGCTGCTGGTGAGCGCGGCGTAAGGGGGGAGGCTTTAGCCTCCGAAGTTGGCGGTGCTTTGATGAGGTGTTCTGTGATCGGCGGGTTTGGGTAGGAAATATGACGTCGAGGGAGGTGACGAGTTGTGTTTTGGGTGCCATTTCGTTGTGGGTGGCGAGGGTGCCCTTTGCTCCGGCACGGGTAAGTCCGGGGCTAGATGAAGGGCTGGCGCCGGTTGAATCGAAGAGGCAGTAGCGGTGGGGGATATATGGCGATCCCACACCGGTGTGGGGCGATTTCAACGTCAATACCCTCTTCGATGGGCATGGCAAACACCACCGCACTGTCGTGCTAGTTTTCACGACAGAAAACGACTCACGGAGGGAGTAAAGCACGTACATGTTGCAGCCAAGGAAAACTGAACTAACCGTTAGCTACCGCGGAACAGCGGTAGCACGTACACCTTTAGAGGCACAGCGTCTTACTCGTCAGTATGTTTCGCAAGGCGAAGGCGAGAATGACTTCGAGGATGTGTAACATGAAATCCTCGAATATCGTTTTCCCGAGAAAAACAGCAGTGGACCCGATGTCTCTCGTCGCCGACACTATCTGGACATTCGGTCGACTTCTCACCTGCTGCCGGCGTTACCGACCCGTGCATCCGATCGGCGTTTATCCTCACACGCGCTGCAGGTGTCGTACCACCGTGACCACGTCTACCTCTTCGACGCCACGGGGGCAAGACGGAATAGCTCGGCGGTCAGCGACCCCGCCCTCTCCTCCTACTTCATGCCCGCTCTCCCTCCACCTCTACCGCCGCCACCGACGACGCCGGAGTGCTCGTCGAACGCCGGTAGCGGCGTTGGTGGTAGGGGGGGTGCCGGAGATGAGGGGGGAGTCGCCCGTGGTCGGGGCTTTGAAGAGCCCGCTGATGGAATTCTGGATGCCCACCGTGCTCTCTTGGCGTGGGATGGCAAAGGAGGTGCGTGCAGCTCCTCAGAGAAGATTCATGAGAGTTTTTTTCGATTTTTATTCATGCTCTCACACTTTTCTTGCTTCCTTTGCGCTGCATGTTGGGCGTTACAATGCACAAAGCTCTGCGACAGTGTAGGTAGTACAGCCATTGCCACGCACAGGCGGTTCTGCTGGCCATTCCGAAAGGCACGTGGCTTTCTGCTAAGTTGGTGTTGTCATTGCAACAAGTAGGTGACTTGCAGAGTTCTACCATTACGATCCAAAGTTGGATTTGCATTCAGCACTTCTTTTGGTTGTGACATACCATGGTATGGCTTGGCTGCTGCTACCAACTCTAGCCTTTCCGACCTCTGTGACAGAGGGCTTGAGGAATTTCTGTCGCTCGTATTCATAGGGATTACGTGCCACCACGCTTCTTGGACGAGACCTTTCGAAGCAGACGGTTTGCATCGTTGTCGATCAGTGGCTTGCCAGAAACCACCCTGCCCCGCTTTTTGATGCTCAGGCGTGAATTCTCGCGGCTCAATCGTTTGTGCTCTTTTGCTCGTTGGTCCCGCGAACACGCCATATTTCGCCGAAACACCCGCCGCATTGTTGCAGCGACAAAATGTTCGGCGGCGTCGGCTCGCCGTCCTCCCGCGCTTCGCGAAGAACGTTCATTTTGTACTCCCCTGTCGTGCATCGCAGAGTAAAATATCGATGACGCATCCTGTCTCCATTTGGCCCGGCTTGCGTTCCCCGTTTGCCTCTGGACATGCTATTCCCGTGGGCATCTAACTTCTACACGTGAATTAGACCGATCAAGGCGACCAACACTTGAACGTTCCAAGGCGTGGCAAGCTCGTCACACACTCTTTGTACTACCCCTCTAGAGTCAAGCCCTCCTACCGTCTCCGCAATAGTCGGTGACGCTTGCCGTGCACACCAATCGAACCACCCTGTTCACATGCCGCCGTGCTGACACAGGGCCACCGGTGTCCCTGGGAAAGCTGAGCACTCTCTACCGGGCGCGTTCGATGAACCTGCGGCAGCGTGGGTGGAAAGGCGACGGTTACATGGCTCTGCTCGACTCAGCTCGTGCCAAGGAGCTTGACCCTACCAAGCCGAGAACGCGCTGGGAGTGAGTTGCGATGGGGCGTGGGTGTGTGACAGAGACAAGCAGCGCCGGGCGGTTGGCTGAAGAGAGAGTGTGGGTCCATGTTGTTCAACACGCCGGCATATTTGGCGACCTGTTGATCGAGCTATTCACTGCGCCATAATGCATACCACCACACCACCCGCGAGTTTCCGTCCCGTCATTCGTGTACCGCGGATAACACTGACGGCTCCAACCCGGTCCTTCTCTCCGCGACAATCCATCAGAATACGAAACAGACGCAACCGAAGAACATCAGACGTACCGCGCGAGAGACGATTACTAATGCTGTTTCCTTTCTCGACCTATTGCCACCACTCGCGTGAGCCGCACCTCTCTTTGCTGCTGTACCCTTTTTTCGGCCTTGTGTCACCAATCGCTCTGGCCGAACCCCTCTGTCTATTTTTTTCGTTGACGCCGTTGCTCTTCCCAGGTACGTAAAGGCCCTGGTTCACGTCGGGCGCCGCGCCTCGGCGCGAGCGGAGGCGGTCAAGTGCCTCGTCGCCTTCCCCGATCTCCAACCGCTGTACGAGGCCGAGTTCTCGGGCGGGACCGAGGGGGAATCGCCACCGCGGTCGGACTTGGGCGGCAGAAATGTTGGGGGACGGAGTGCCAGTGGCGGCGGCGGCGGCGGCGGCGGGCGAGGGGCCGGTGATTCTGGTGGACCGGTTGAGGATGAGGAGGAAGAGGAGGAGGAGGGGGAGGAGGAGGAGGAGGAGGAGGAGGAGGAGGAAGGAGAGGAAGAGAGAGGGCGGGAGAGGAACCAGTCCATGACGCCGCCGAGAGGGGCCGGAAAAGTTAGTGTCGTTTCTTGTCGATTGGCCCCCTGCAGAGTGAACACAGAGAATATCGTCCATCGAGGACGCGCTTGCGCTTGCTGTTGCAAGCGTGGCGTGTCGTTTTGGTTGCCGATTCGTCCCTGCTCGGGAGTGTACGGCCTGTGTTGCGGGTCGTTTCGTCTTCGTTGTTGGATGCGGGTTCCACTGCCACAAGACAGACAATCAGTGTGCACCACGCGAAATCCGACACTTTCTATTTTTCGTTTGTTAATTGTGGGATCGGTTTTGTTCATGATAAATGAAACAAAGGATGTTATAGATGTTGGACACTACCCTCACGAAAACCCTTGTATGCCCTCTTGGTTTGCCCACTGATGCAGGGAAAGAGAGGGGACAAAGAACGTCTTTCTTTTGTGGTGGCGTGTTCTTTGCCGCCTATGTCGGTGTTGATATTGATCTTGATGCCGATGTCGAAGTTGAAGCTTTTGGTTTCTCAAATCAAGCTATCAAGCTAAATCAGGATTCTGATCGCGGCGCCGAAGTCGTGCGCTCGCTTTCTGCTAAACCAACGTCAGCATGTGATCCCACGATTTCCAGAGGAGATGTCCACCGCACATGACCTCCCCGCGCTCGTTGTACCCTTTTATTCCCCCCACGCTCTGTTCTATTTTCCTTTGGCTCGTAGACAGCGCGCTCTTCTTGCGGAAGCGCCCTCGCCAATGACCTCGCCCTCACCGCGGAGCTTGCAACGGCCCGCGCGTGGCATGAGATGCTGTCTCGAACTGGGGACGTCGGGAGTGATCCCCGTTGCCCCGATAGGGCTACCGACTCCGCGGGGAGAGAGAAGGGTGCGGCTTCGGCGAAGGGGCCCGCGGCCGAGAAAGATTGGACCGAAAGCGAATGTGGCCAGGGGTGAGTTGTGTGGTGGCGCTCGTTGCCAGACTGTGGAAGGGTCTGGTAGTTGGCTGTATGCTTGTTGGCTTAGGGCGCGGTAGATGGAGCATCCCTCCTGTGCTGACCCAGCTCGGTTCTAACAGAAACATGATTGCATAGAGGGCACATGTAGAGCGTCTCCCGTGTCTGAGCCCGCTTCTATCGCAGAGTTTTCACCAGATGAGAGAGGGCTCACGAAAGCGTGTCAACGTTGGGGGCGGTGTTGCACGTCATGTCCCGCCGCAGCAGGCGCGCGCTGATGCCGTTTCATCTTGGATGAGGTGTTTTTCAAGTTCTTCATAGAAACAAAGCGCACGAAAAACAAGGAATCGCGCCGTCTTGGGATAAACGCCTCGGTTGCAGCGGACCTTGCGACATTCATTCCGCAGGTGCATCTCTCAAACACCTCGCCAAGAGCGACCATCAGCACCAAAGAACACAAAACGGCGACCCCAATGATAACGAAACCGAGGAAGGATGCCTCAAGCCGCCAAATACGGATCCACCTCCCTCATAACCCCTTTAAAATGCACGTTTCAGATCGTCGGACATGCTCAGCTGCTCGCCACGGGCAATGATCCAGCGGTACACCGGCGCTTGCAACGTCCAGACTGTCATCAAGGAGGCGTCTTTCCTCGGGGATGGCGGGGGCTACGTGACTTCGGGCAGCGACGACGGGAGGTGCGGCGAAGCGAACGAAAGGCTCGCCACAACGCTGTGATGCAGACGCGCGCTTGTAAAGGCGCTAATCGCCGAGACCTGGGTCCATTCTTTTTTCTGTTGATTTGCGGAGGCCCGCCATTGTTTGTCCTGTAGTGTAGTTGGTGGTCTTGGCAGACGCTGAGTCAAATGATGGAACCGAAATCGACATTATTCAGCTCTCAAGACAGTGACAGTGCGAGTGTCGCACCGACATAATGAATGTCGTTGTTTGCTTTTGCAACCGTTTCACTCGCTCTCTCTAAGAAGGGCATGCACGTCGCCGGAACACCCAGGTTCTCGTGCCTATGTTTTTTGTTTATTTTTTCGTTGCGTTGAGCATTTATCAAGGGAATGTTTCTGGAAATACACCAGGATGACATGGTAGCTTGACGACGTGTTGACTCGCCTTAACCTTGCTCAAATGACGAGTTTAGATGATGTTTGGCGTTTAACGTGTGCTTCTGTTTGCTTGCCTGTAAATGCGTGCGGTGGACCTCATCCCGAACCGCAGAGTGTTTATCTGGGAGCGCTCCTCCGGGAGGCTGGTTCGGGCGATTAAGGCCGACGACCAAATCGTCAACTGCGTTGCGCCGCACCCTTCCCTGCCGGTGCTCGCCACCAGGTACGTGCGGTGTTTCAACCACTGTCACTGTTGCGGAATTACCATATCGTATGCGGTATAACCAAGTGGCCGGCAGCGGTATTCCGCACCCCTCCCTGCCGGTGCTGGTCACCAGTTACCAGTCCTGGCCTTTCTGGTCGGTAGGCAAGCTCACGGCCACCTTCGGCTCTACTGTGGAATACCCGGAATAACGCCGAACGATCGGGGGTTTTCGCCTCGACTGCTACATGCAGGCTCGTGAAACGTCGGATTCATTCGTGGTTGGTCTGTAGCCTGGAGAACGTTGTTCGTGCGAATGGGGATGTCGATGGTACCGACTTTCGGTGACTCGTTGATGGAACCACCGCTTTCTGGAGCGGGTTAGCCACGCGCTCTCGGTTTCCGGTACCCTCTGGGGGATTCTCCCAAGGCTTGGTTGAGGGCACAGTTTTTTGCGGTTCCACATCTATCGCTTAATTGTTTTCGTTTTTTTTTTTGTTTCACTTGTTTGTGTTTCGTTCGCGTTGTTTTTTCTTCGTTGTTGTTTTCAAGATTATCGTCGGCTCGACGAACGGGATTTTGACGTTGCCGCTGGTTCACTTCGCGAGGTATATCCATTCGTAGATGCGTTGAACGCGAAGGCGTATGTCTGAGATGTGCGAGAACCATTACCTATAGACCGGTTCTGACCTCTGGTTCTTTCGTTTTCACAAGTCTCTGACCAACCTTGACCCAACCGCTCCCCACTTCGAAGGGGGCAGGCAGAGCACCAGTGGAAAGAACCATTTTTTGACATGTTAACAGGCGTGGGCACTAGTTGGCCAATACTGGAACAAATTCAATTGCCTCGACCACGACGGCCTATCTGTCGTTCGCCTCGAGCTAGTGCCGTTCGTCTTCACTGTCCTATTCTCCAATGTTTGAATTTAGTTCGCGGACCTTGGTCGTCGTTGCCGTTGTGCGTGCCTTTCGACGGACACGTGCCCCCCCACGCCTCCAACTTGTTTTCCGGCAAACGTTCGCACGCGTCCGGCTACCCCGTCGCCGATCTTGCTGCGCCGCCTAGCGGCCTCGAAAGCGTGGCCAGGATTTGGAGTCCTCGCGGAGAGGAAGAGGAAGTTATCGGGGACGACGAGGCCGCCGACTCAGACCCAGACTCTCGCTCCCTGGAAGACATCGCCCAGAGCAACCAGGGCAACATGGATTCTGGTGAGACCCTCTCTCGGGCAACCTTAGCCTCTCTGCAGCGGTGGTGCTACGGTTGACGGCCGGTCGAATCGACCTTGCCGGGCATGTTTCTGATGGCCACGTACACGTTCATGCCAATGAACGCGGTGTGTGCTGCCAGACTGAGAGAAGAGTCCGCATGAGACCCCACGGCTGCCGTCGTCGCTCGCGCGGTCGGTTGCGCTCCTGCACCTTGACGGATGCCTTACTTGTCGTCAGCAAACGCCCGGGATCGGATCTGGCGTTTCGTATGGGGGAAAAGTGTCAGCAGTTGCGCCGGTGTTTTGGTGGGCATCGAAGATAGCAATATTTTGTTCTTGCGACCCAACCCCATGGTCAGGTCCTCCCACGCAAAATATGGCACGACCACATAAGGGAACGCCGCTCCAACAAAAAACATCGCACCCGGCGGCGAATACTTTCATGGGCCAGCACGAGTCCGAATAATATACCCACTCCCAGATCAGCTACCATGGCGACATAAGGTACCCGACCGCCCCTACACAGCTACAATTCTCCTGGTAATTTTGTCTTCGAGACAAGTTTTGTTCACCAGTATTTGGGTGTCCGCACGGTGCAAGACTGACTGGTATCCTCCATCCCTCTTTTCCCGCGCTGGGCTTCTCAACATTTTTTGCTTCGTTTTTTGCTTGCCGATACGTCCATGTCCAGCTTGTATTGGCTTTCGAACTCGATCACTTCCCATTGGAGATGGAGCCCTGGTGAATGAATCAACTAGATTCCACCGAACTACCGAGCCTTACATTGTGAAGCCTGACCCCCTGACTCGGACTTGTGACTGATGACCGTCGCATGCTTCCCGCCCTGTCGCTTCCTTCTCTTGCCTTCAGTGGGAGTGAACTTAGGGTTCCAGCCTTTGATGCACCAGCTCGTTCTCCAGCTTGCCGCGACGGAGAATATGGGTGACGACAGAGGGCCCGGGGAGTGCGTCCAGGCATAACGACTCGTGCCGCCGCCTGCGACACGCGACGGAGCTGTGCATGCTTCTTCACGCCCTGCACGGCTGTCATTCCAATTCTGGACTGTTGGCTGGGCACGATTAGCAAGGTCTTTTTGGTGATTGTTTTCGGTATGATGTGGTCCGACCGACAAACCGTGTTATTGAACGAGTTTGTACGTGTGGACGCAATTCGGTTGTTTGGGATCTGTTCGTCGTGTTTGAGTCCATGCCGTCGCTTCAGCCTGCACGACTGAACAGGACACCCTTGGATGTTTTGTTTTCTTTCTTCTTGTTTTGGTGGCGAGGTTCGTGCGTATGATTTTTTTGTCTCTACCCGTAGTCCTGGGGGAAACCGGGGGATGGGAAGGTGTGTGTGTGTGTGTGTGTGTGTGTGTGTGTGTGACGAGGCACTTACGATTTCTGCACCGCCACTGGAGCGCCATCGGAAAGAATGAAGTTTATGCCCTTCAGCTGACGAGCCATTACCATTTCAGATGCAAACAAGCCTCCGTAAACCACCGATCATTCTAGAAGACCCGCATCAGTTGTTTTTTTCAGAACGATTGGTTTATTTTCACAGTAAGTATTTATCCTTAGATTTCTTTCGTGGAATGGGGAGTGACTTTTGGAGTCAACTCTCGCTGTATTTCATCTACCCGGTACTGCACATGGCTTCATCTGCGTGCGGCTATTTTCAACCATCTTTTCGACATCGTAAGAGCCGAGACTCTGCATAACCCACGCTATCCATGCTTCATGAGTGATCGGTAGCACTTTCACAACACACAACACATTACTGGAGCGTTGCGTGGCCGTAACGTACCGCATTTTACTGCTCACACGTGTAAACCGCTGTAAAAATAAGGTCACCACGGGCGCAAAGAATCTTCACATTCTCTCCAACGCACAGGCATCACCACAACAGCGGCATAATTCGGCATGCGCCTCTCTCGCAGATCTCTACGGGCGTGAAACATGTCATGTTGGTTTCAGCCAACAGCTGTCTTGAAATTTCTTGCCGCCCGCCACCAAATCCCCGCCACCTGCTCGTTACGCTGCCTCGGGATGTGTATTCATCGAGTCTCTTTCGTCTACTGTCGTCCTCTCGCTTGCTCTCCTATTGTGCCCGCCTCTTTGCGTGTCCAGAGAAATACCTGCTTGTTGTGTCGTGTGGTTTGGATAAAATGCGTCACCAAAGTGCCGCCGTCCCTCTTCCTTGACGTGGACGGCGGTATTAGCAGCTACCGAATAGAGCTACCATATAGCAAACTCAACCTCCCATTGGTATGCAACTTCGTGAACGATTCCATTGAGCGATCAGAACAGCGATGGTCGAAACGCGACTTCCTTATGGCCAACCCTGCCTGCGTAGGAGCTACTCAGAATGTGGGCAAACAAGGTGAACAAAGAAGGGTTGTGGTGGTCGACGACCTTCGAGGTGAGACGTGTGGTCCGTGGGGGATCCGTTTCGAAATGCATTTCATGCGTGCAACACATGTTGTGTAGTGCTCACTGTTGAGCTGTCTGCCAGGCCAAGCTGTTGATTCGACATACGTGTATAGTCTATGTAGAAGAATAGAAAATTTAGTTGACACCGTGAGCGCGCTACAGAAGGTCCGGATGCTGTAGAATCAAGATGATTATGGCACTCGAGAAAGGGACGGTTTGTGGGTTGGATTGCTCAAGATGAGACTTGGATGTGAAACGGCCGAGCGGTACGCGTTCATTACCAACCAACTGACCGTGGGTGACCTACGCCTACTAGCATTCCCAGCAGAAGGGGTGCCCGAAATAATCGATGGTACGGTCTTTCTTCCCAGGCCAGCTACCATATTGACATGGGCAATCCCTGTAAAAGACTGGGGTGGTGCCCCGGGTCGCAAAACTGGAACAGATTTGTTGGGTCTTGCGGGTTGAAACCGGCCGTACCCGGGAGGGGTTGCCACGGATGGATATCACCATGTACCGCCCTAGTTTGGGGTGCCGTGTATCAAAAACCAAATAACCGCGGGTACAACATGGGTGGAACCGGAACCGACCGGATATTCCCAGAATCAGTTAACTGGTAGCGGGTACTCGATGCTGCCCCAGTCGGGGCACCACCCTTCAGTACAGGTCCAGGACATCCATAGCCAAGCGTTCTGAGGACAGGGGGGCTCTGTGACTGGGGATATAGCCCATACACCGAATGTCCGAAACTTCTGGGATCTCCGTGTATCGGCTCGGCATCGGCAAGCAGCAGTAGCTAGCAGACGCGGTGCAGTGTTAGATGTGCAGTGTGACACGTCCTAGTCTGTCCACGTATGGCCGGAATAATTGACATTACCGTAGGTAGGCGGTTGACTATTCGCGTCCGTCGCAACAATTTGTGGAAAAGGGTGTGTAAGGATGCTACGCACGGGGGCCCTTCCCAACCTTGTCTGCGAAGCACAAGGGAGCGGAGGGGGGGGGGGGCGGGGTTTACACCCGGAAGACATTCATCGTCTTACATGTAGCGTTCAGAGCTGGCCAGCGCGGCGCCTCTCTCTCACTCTGACCTCTCACCTCTCACTCTTATCATCTGCCATGAGAAACAGGGGCGGCGTGGAGTCATTCAGGAACAAACGACATGTTTTTTAATTCCCATAATTCCGAGGGTTACCGAGATGCCCGACCGCATGCAATATATGTGGTGTAATAGTTTTACTCTACCTATTGTACATTTACTCTACATATTGGTACATTTCCCTGTTCTTTTTCCCTCTTGCATGTCACATGCAAACCGCATACGAAACTTCACTCCAAAGGGCGTTGTAATGGGGTTTTTCATATCGTGCTTTTTTCTATAGCTCCGCCTCGCCTTGTCTCTGGGACATACAAAGCGGCACACGCACAAATCCACTCCTCTCTAGCGACTGCACTCTACTCATCACATGATCATGCCTGCCGTAGTTTTTATATTTCAGCTATAAAGTACATGTAGCACATGGGATTGATAGTGTTTTTCTCGCCGGTTAAGTGCTAGGTTTCACAAGGATGAATCAAAACCTGCCGCCATCATTCTTGTGGTTGCTATGCTTCACCAAATATACGATGGGTTGAATGAGCACCCCGGCTAGCCAAACGCTTCGCATTCAGCAGGCATGACTGACTACTCCAAGTCCCGCAAGTGAATCCGATCTTTGCGCGCTTGCAAGCAACGACACTCCACGCACAGGGAGAACATGTCACTTCATTTGTGGCAGGCGGGGTGATTCTTGTTAGTTTTATTATGGTGGGGTGTGAGAGACAGCACAAAGAGAAATATTGCAAACGATTTTGTGTGATCACTAGTATTTTCCACCATGATTTCAAAAAGCGCAGCTGAAAGATGCCCCCACATCATATATATACTTGCCGAAATGGCACCGAAGGCAGAGCGGGTGTGAGAACATTGCGTCCCAAAACCGAAAATTATTATCTCCAAGACGAAACACACCCAGCACTAACCTCATAGAAATCGCCCTTATAAGCATCCTGGTCCTGGTTTGGTACATGGGGAACCACCACCGTTCAGTACTGCTTCATGCATGACGCACATACACCAGAGAAGAAAGGCAAAGAAAACAACCACAGAGAATCCACAAGAGTGAATGAGTGCGCGGAAAATAGAGTGCGATCGTAGGGTGGAGTGAATTCATTCGAGAGTATTATGTGTGCCAGGGGCAAGGCGAGGCGAATATACTAAAAGCAGCATGTTTTTAGTATTCATCACGCCATTCGGTGTTTGTATGATTGAACAGGATGTAACGGAAGAGAGGGGATTAGAGAGGAATAGTCTGTGTGGAAAGAGCACCAATAGAGATATATACTTAAAACTAATCTGTCCTAGACTTTTTTCTTAGATAGAGCTGGATTCGTTGGGTCATATTCAGAAATTTCAAGAAAACTCGATTCATTCACCGACGGGGTGGACGTTTTTGGGCGTTTTCGCGCTTCATGCATTTTTTGGTCCCACACCCCCCTCATTTAAAACTCAAAAGTAGTTATTCACAGGATAAAAACACAAAACCGTTCGCCTGTTCCAATACAAGACAAGCCAGCTGGTGTTGGGGCAGGGGGGCTGCCGTGGTTGTCCCAGCCAAATTTTCAGCGGAACAAGCCAATACCTGAGGATCTCTTTTGATGTTGTGGTGAGGACATTCGTATACATACCCGTATGTAGTAAACGAATAGCTGACAAGGGGCGCTCTGCTAAGAGGACACCTGACCCACGCTAGCTTGGCATTGAATGTTGGCGCCATGGTGCTTCGCGGTCGCCACTTAGTCACAGGCAGATGATGATAAAAAGCCGTTGTCCTTCATTTTTTTGTCAATCAAAAGAGAGGAGATGAGAGAGACACACACACACATCCTACACACAACATGTACACACACGCAGCACAACGGCAACAACAACAACAGCCTCTAGCCTCCCGATGTCTCGACTCGGAAGGACTGCCCTTACTCACCCACAGGTAGCGGGACAACCCATAAATTTCCCGGCCAGCCTTGTGGAACTGGTTTCTGTTCGGTCGTCCGTGCTTGCTCGCGACGGCATCAGACAGAGAGCGAGGGGAAAATAAAACATCAGCAGCAGTCGCAGCAGCAAGCAGCAGCAGCAGCAGCAGCAGCAGCATGCAGCGGTATATATGGCGGCAGCACAACAAATATCGCCAGGGCAGTGCCCGAAAGCTTTGGGGGCTGGCGGTGATGGTTGCTGCGAGATAAGAGGGAAGCAACGCGAATCAGAGACGAGAGACACAGGAGGGGGAGAGAGGGTGAGGGAGAGAGGAGTCTGTTCGTCTCGGAACAAAAATCATATACTTGGAGCTCTGGAGCCCCAAACATAAATTTGCTCACGATTCATGCATATTGGCCCAAAAGTGTCCTCCGATCTAAAACTCGATTAATTCTCTTTTCGGGATCTGCCACTGGAATTGTGCATTTTTACTTGTTTTTGGATCTGCCAATTTTATACAAAATACAAGACTCCCCTTCGGAATGTAGGTGCAATGGCCTCCCGGGGTCGAAATTAATTTAGGGGTTGTATCGTGGTGTGCGGTAGGGCTGGTGGCCGTATAATAAATCCCACGTATCATCGGACGGTGGAGGCGGGTGGGTACGGTTGACCAA